AAAATGGAAACAAAAAAGGTACTGAAATGAAATATACTCAAATCAAAATACATTTCAATTCAGTCACTTAATAAGACTTTCACTTCATAAAAATTAAATATCAACTTAATCATATTGGGTGTATAAGTGAAGTCAGCGACAAGAATGGCTTAAGACGTATCACTATAAAACAGCCTTAGATTTTACATTTTCTTTGAGCAGTTAATAAACGCTTAAGCATCGAATAACATAATCATGAACTTTATGTATCAGTGAGATGTTGAAACTGAAAAATATCCATATTTATCATTCGTTAATCCCTTTGTATCTGGAAACTTCCATGGATACAACTATTAAATCCCATATTTTAGATACAAAACATCGATTTAATTTCTTACAGTATACAATCAGTCAACAAGCCATGTTGTTTGATGTCTTATTTTGTAAATAATACAGCTGTTGATTTGATGGATAAGCAGTGAGTTCATATCATTCATTCTAGAAAATTCATCAGTCAAACAATTAGTCAAGGTTGAACTACAATTGTCTAAAAATTAACGATTGATGAATCAACATTGAGTGACTGATCATCTCTTACATGCTTCAAATGACGATATGGATTGAAAAGAAGGCAAACGATTGACTTACTCATAAGTAGCATATATCTGATAAATTTGAAATATATTAATTTTTTTAAGGTCAATAAATGAACAAGAACGCATATGTCTAATTATAGTCAAATAAGACCTAATCAACTGTATTACGCTTAGAAATGGTATCGATATTAGCCTGTTAATTTTATAACTGTTTAGATTAAGAAACGTTTATTATTTACGAACCAACATTGTGTCAGCCAGGAAGACAAAACTAACCACCTGTTTTCATCTAAACTGAATAACTGATAAGCTATAAACATAATTAGATGTTTATACAAATATTCGTCAAGCTTAGAACGAATAGTTTGACAGTAATTGAGCGCCGAGTATAGAGAAGTCATTATATGTGAAAATCATATTTGAAATATTCTCAGCAATTGAAATTTAACTAATTCCAACGTTTCGTCCAGCTAACTTGTCTGGACTTCTTCAGGGTAATAATCCAATTCATAATGAGACACAACCCATTCCAACAGTTTTATCAAAAATAGTAATGCTACTTAGTATTTTTAAGTAGTTACGAATATACAACGAAATTTCCGAATGAAGATCTCAAGTGATTGTAGTTTATCAATATGTATATATCTTTTTCATTTTTAGCTTTTGAATGACGCAATAAACTTTCCTTAGTACTCTATTATGATTATTATTCAATTATGTATATTGGTAATCTATTTTAGGCATGAATCTCTTAATCTAATCTAAATATAGACTGGTTTATTCATGGAAAATATAAATTTAGACTATTTGCCAACACTCCATTTATATAAAACTGTTAAGAAAGTATTAGAATCAACTTCAACTTTTTCGAGCGAATGTCTCCTTTGATCATTAAGCATCACTGTGTACATGACAAGATTTTTAATGCTCACTTATCTATTATGTCTTTATTTTATTGATACAATGAAATTAATTAGAAAGTATATCACAACTAATTCAAGAAAAGTTATATTTCCTAATAGAACTATTAATGATAATGATGCAAAGAATATTGTTGAACATCATTAAATAATGAACAAGTTCATAATAAAACTGATTGGCTTATATATAATGAAAGTAATATAGGTTTAGTGGATACAATACCACATATATTGATTAGTTATAGTCATGAAGAGAAAGATATGGCAATGTATTTAAGTGAACAACTAGAAAATAAAGGTTACAAGGTAAAGTTATTTGTTATTTATTTGAAGTGATATGAGATAAGGCTTGTTTTGTTTGTTTGTTTTTTCTTCGTTTATTTACTTTTTTTTTATCTATTAAACTCATTAGTTTAAAGATAAATGATCACTGGTAAACATAGTTCATTTTGTTTGTATTAAATAAATGTTCAGAATGGGATTTATAATGGTCTAAATGGTCCCGTTATTGAAGGATAATTAAGTAAGTGATGATCTGAAATCAGGAGCTCAGTTTGTATTGAATCTTTTTATGAATTGAAAGGTATTGAATTCGAGTTCCGGAGAAAATATCATCTCTAATTTGCAGGTATATCTAATTGATGAGACCCAAATAGATAAAAAAGATGTCTTAGATATTACTACTATCTACATTCCATCTATTATATTATAATTTTAATCAGTTACTGTTTAAAGTAAAACACATTGGGCTCAATTCCTATTGTGATTATCAACAATGAGTGTAGAAGTCATCTAATTGATGACTGAAAAATAGACCAAAACACATATCCTGAACTCCACTGATAGCCATGATCTAATTGTTTTAAAACAAATGACACAAATACCATTTAGATTTAAACGTTTTCGGATGATCTCTTATATGTGGTTGTAAATGCGCAGATACTTCATAATAAAACAAATAGTCGTTTTAATACTTCATGATTGTCATCATTTGTTGATGCTACTCAAATATTTGTTTTATTCAGTAATTTTGTAAGAATGAGTATCAGAATTACTAAAGAAGCAATAAGATTTGAAAATCGTTTTCGATGACAAGCTTTATGAAAATAAACAGTATTAGTAATGCAAATATAAGATATTCACTTGGTATTGTTTACTTGTATCACCCTATTGCACAACCAGGTGGCCATCAGAACTCAGTAGCTAAATGGATACCGTGGCGTTTCAAGCGAGCGGTACTGGGTTCGAGTCCCTAAGTGAACGTCAACTCTGAGTTGCAGGTTCATCCAGCTGACGAGTTTCAAATAGGACGAAACACGCTTCCTGGATTCTACTGCCAGCCACTTCCTATCTTTGCCTGAAAATATAGATAATTATAATATTTAAGATATCTAAAATAATAAATTCTAGGGTAACAGCAATGAAGTTTGACAAGTTCAAATTAACTATTCTAGAAATGTTAGCTATGTTCCGATATAATAATCAATTGTAGTAACTCCTTATATTGTTATTTTATCATATTGTGGTGAAATAGGATTCCGCCATATTGAAGAATTGTGGATACATAGTGAATCTGTTGTAAAGAAACTGTGCAAAATAAGACTAAGTTAAAGTTTTCAGTCTAGTGAAATACATTTCAATAGAAATTGTATTATCAGAAAGGGTTTTGTGGAGACTTTAGAAATTTTACAGATAGAAATCATGAGTCAATTTAAGCTAAACCACCATGGAAACATGGAAGCACTGGACGGCCGTTTAGTCCTAGTATGGGACTCCTCAGCAATGTGCATCTACGATCCCGCACTCCGCGATATTCGAACCCAGGACCTATCAGTCTCACACCAGGCGCTTAACCAACACCGTTGGGTGCCGGCTCGGTGGTCTGTTTGATTAGGCGCATGGCGCGAGACCGTAAGGTCCTGGGTCCGAATCTCGCGGGGCGCGGGATCGTGGGTTCGTACTACTGAAGAGTCCCATACTGGGACGAAACGGCCGTCCAGTGCTCCCAGGTTTTTCAAATTATATTACCTTAAATTTAAGACTACTGGATATAGATTAGATTATATGTTAAATTATTCAGCTATTAACCGTTAGATTATATTATTCACTCCGAAACATTTGATTATATGGACAGCTATTATCATTAGCCCTCAGTACATCTCCTCTAACTGAATACCTAAATCGATTCCCTTGTAAATGAATTATGGTCGGTGATATGATCTATCACGATCTTATAAATTTTTTTAAGGTCATTCTTTCTAGTTCATTGTACTTCGTACATAATAATACTACCTAAAAATGGGGCTGAATTATTGATGTCAATGAATAGATTAACAGTACAAATTATAAATGTATTTTTACGCTGAATTAAACACATATTAATTTCAACAATACTTCAACTGATGTTCATAAGCAAGGAATATTAAATCTAGGAGTTTAATGTTACTTGATAAGAGGTAATCAACAACTAAACCTTAAACAAGGTTGACACTTGTCAGGAATGTTACTAGAATCATCCAGTCTGAGACGTTATCATTAAGCTACTTGTGACTCAAGTGTCTTATTTAAGTGAAATAACCATTGACTATATGATAAACGAAAAGTTCAGATCATAGTGAGCATTGTTTTATCAAAGAAAATTAACGGTACCATTGAAACAAAATAGAAATGTAAATGTAAACTACATTTAAATAGATATCAATTTAAATGGTGGAGAAGATTTGTAGCTCAGGTGGATGATTTTGATGAAGTTTTGTTCTCTGAACTATCCGAAGTTTGTGCTGATAATGTCGTTCAGAAGAATGATGAAAGTTCTACGACGAAACTATCTATCTCAGAGAACAAAACTCTATCGAAATATCTATTCAAAATGAGATCGTTAAATTTGTATTTGTTGCTACTAATGGACAAATTTAAATGTTTATTGAGCTTGCTTTAGTTTAACGTGATCACTTTTAACCAACATGCAAAAGTTTCAATCAACTTAAAGACATTTACTTCTTAAATTTTCTTTTAATTAGTCAAGAAAAGACATTTGGCAAACTGATGATCCAATATGTTTCATTCATTCGTTTCCGTTTTCTGTTATTTAGACGAATAGATAGAGATCATGAACTGATGAATTAAAACTAGACCACCATTGAAAAAACCTGGAAGCACTGGATGGCCGTTCCATCCTAGTATGAAACTCCTCAACAGTGTGTATCCATGATTCCGCATCTTGTACTGACAAATAGATAGAATTAAAATTTACATTTGCAACATCGTAAAAGCTAATAATTCTGATGTTTATTATGCACAAGTGCCAAGATTCCAGTGATTTATCTGAAATTAGGTACATCAATCGGTAAAACAACATAAACACTAATAATGTACTGTAATGTAGCTAATCTATTTATTTTAAATAATGTAAACAGATTTTACTGAAGAGTCACACATCTGTAATGATTGTTTTTTACATATGTATATGTATATAAACATTTAGGTATGGATTGACTATAAAGATATGATGTATGAAACTGATGTAATGGAGGGTATGGCAAAAGCTGTAGAAAATTCATATGTTGTTTGTATTCTCTACTCTAAATCATATAAAGAAAGTCTTCACACAAAATGTGGTAAGTTGAATAAGTTTTCATTTTTATTATCATTAGGGGTTCTGCGGAGATGTTAGAATTTCACTAGTCGAATTCATAAGTCAAGTGAAGCTAGACCATCATGGAAACGTAGAAGCACTGAATGGACGTTTCATCCTAGTATGGACTAGGATCTGTGGTGAGTTAGTAACTCACTGAAGACAATGATTACGGTGGCTCAACTTCGTGTATTGGTTGAAGTTTGACATTAACAGAACTGGGTGCCGACTCTGTGGTCTACAGGTTAGGCGTTCGCACACGAGACTGTCAGGTCCTTGGTTCGAATCTCGCAAGGGGCAGGATCGTGGATGCACACTGCTAAACAGTCCCATACTACGATGAAACGATCACCCAGTGTTTCCAGGTTTTTCATGGTGGTCTAGCTTTAATTGACTCATAAATTCAACTGTAAAAATTTCCATTTGACCAAAAAGAACTTTTTGGGACAAATTTTTTTTGATTTCATATACTAACTTTCTTTATCTTCTTCTTATTGAAACGGCTTAGAAACTCATTTTCAAGTTACGTTTTATTTCTTTTTGGAAAAAATGAAGTACTTTCTCAATATATTCAATACTACAGGTCTGATTTAGACATTTAAGTGATCCTACGTATAGGAATGACTCAAAAGTTGATTTTAAGATGGTTTATAGAATTCGCCTGAAATTCAACAAGATTTCCTCATTATTAACTCTTTAAAACAGGTAAAACATCTAATGAATCATTGAATTTTGCTAAATCAGAAGATAGAATTAGACACTTATTGGACACTTATTAGAAACAGTTTAAGTATAGATAACTATTCATTTAATATAATTTTATAATATGGAATGTATATTTGTTGTATGGTCTATATACTACGATATTTCCTAGTACAAATATAACTTACACTAAATAAGAGTGTATATTTGAAAGGTAAGCCCATTGAATAGGTCATGATCGTTATTCTTTCGTAAATATCATTGTGTTCAAATGAACATCTATTTTTAGGAATTCCTCACATTAGAATATAATTCATATGAAATTAGATAAGTTTATCAGACAGTGTACTATGAATCATAAAAATTGTAAGTTCGATTTGATTTTTCCATACCATTCTTAATTATCATATATGGACTATTAGGATATATTTTTTCCTACATTGGGAATAATATAAATTCAGATGGGTTTTGTGGATATTATAGTAATTTCAATGGTTATAATCATGAGTCAACTGAAGCTAGACCACCATAGGAAACTTGGAAGTACTGGACGGCTGTTCCGTCTTACTGCGGGACTCTTCAGAAGTGCGCATCCATGACCTCGCCCCCTGCGAGATTCGAACCCAGGGTCTACTGGTTTCGCAAGCGAGCACTTCACCAGTCGACCACTGAGACGGATGGCATCGAAAAGTGGTAATTTCTAACTTTAAATAATCCACATCCACCATTGTCTTCAGTGAGTTACTATCTTACAACAGACCCCGTTGAGTTTCACTGGACATTACTTCTCACTAGAACTCCAGGATATACCTAGTTCTAGTGCGAAGTAGTGAACAGTGGAGTTCAACCAGGTCTGTTGTGAGATAGTAACTCACTGAAGACATCGGTGGATGTGTCGCTCAATTTCGTGGATTATTTGGAGTTAGACAGTAACACCGTTGGATGCCATCCGGCCCAGTGGTCGACTGGTGAAGTGCTCGCTTGCGAAACCAGTAGACCCTGGGTTCGAATCTCGCAGGGGGCGAGGTCGTGGATGCGCACTGCTGAGGAGCCCCACAATAAGATGAAACGGTCGTCCAGTGCTTCCAGGTTGTCCATGGTGGTCTAGCTTCAACTGACTCATGATCTTAACCATTGAAATATAAATTCAGTTGAATAGTATGTGCAATATATAAGGGTGGAAGTATCTCAGTTTGATCCCTAGAAACTGTACGATACAACTTAAAAGTTGTAGGTAAGCTCAATGTTCTGTTAGGAATTACTGTGTCGATTCTCGAAATCTCATATAAAAGCAGCTCTCATCGGTTTAATTTATTTCTAATATACATGGTTAATTTAAACCTGTCTTTTCGTGAAATTTTACTTTCATCTATAAAATAAAATATTCAAATCGGTATTTGAAGAATAGGCCAAAACCATCGAATTGACGAGAAGGTTTGTAATTTTCAAATGTTAATATTCAGAATTCCATTGTTTACTCCCCAACATTCTTTAATGTTTGAAGGTAAATACTCTGCATTTGAATCATGATATAGACATTAACAATTAGATAAAAGCATATCTATCTGATGAATCTTAAATAGAAAGACACACACGTCTTGGGCACATACCAACTCTACAAGATATTTGTATTTTCATAAAGAAGGATATTTACTGTTTATTCACGGGGTTACACATTTATTTTTGTCGCTTGCATGCTTTCAATGAAATCAGGATGTAGCAAGGTAGTGAAGGAGAACACAGATGACAAACCATACTCTAATACTTAATTTGCGAAATTTTCATTATTTATCACAGAATTCATTGTTCTTGCATTTCCATACCAATTACTTTCTATTCACATTCTTCAATTCTTGATCTTCTCAACCCTGTGCTGTCAGACATTATATTCTTGACTCACGTCTTATACTACTTATATCAATATAAGTAGCAGCACAGCAAAATCTCATATTTATGAACATATTTTATTGTATTCTTTAACTAATATTCGTTATTTAAAAAGAACAACCTATTTTTATTTTGATTCCAGAAGCTCAATATGCTTATCATGAAAAAAAGCCAATATTATTTTTACGTGCACAAAGAGGATATGTACCAGATGGATGGTTAGGTTTTATGATGGGAACACGATTGTATATTGATATTTCTGGAAAATATCCTTTTGAAGACAAATTTATTGAATTGTGTAAAAGAATAGACGTATATAAAAAGCAATCCATTGATCAACTTAGTAATCATTGTCAAAATAAACCAATAGAAGTGGTAAGCTTCATTTCATGTCTTCTTTTGTAACTATATCACATTCAGTAACATGAAACGAATATAAAAATCATTACTGATGCGGAAAATTTCATTTATAGATTATTATTGTCTCAAGCTTATATCAATTGATGTACGTTCGGAAACTAAAGGGCATTTTATATCTGTTTCATCTTTATATGGAACTACTAACAGTGTTTTCTATAACTCAACTACATTCATAATAATTGATTTTAGTTTTCACAGATTGGCAAAAACAATAACAGTCTTGAGATGGATTAGTATGTCAGTATCGTAATTTACTTAGTGTACAAATCGTATAAAAGTATATATATATGAAACCGATAAAAAAAGGATCAGTTTGATGATTACCTGTTTCTAATCATGAAAACAATTTAATGGTGAAAAACTTCCTTTTTTATTCACTGAGTTATGTTAAAGCTATTTTATTATTTACGAACCGAGTGAATTTACTAGAATAACATAAGCAATTATTGTCAGTTAATACTCCAAAGCAAAATTGTCATAAAGCATATTACACTTGTGAACGAATGAATAATATCTGTACTTGTAATTGCCCATTTAATACTTTTCGATGTAATCAGATTATGGTAAATAATTAGTCTTACTTGCTTACTTACTTATTACTGTTACTCCCAATGGAGTATAGGTCGCCATCCAGTATTCTCGAATCATTTGATTCTAATTGACAGTAAACTATTCAGTTCAATATCTGTTTTCATAGTGTTTTTTACGAAGCCTGAAAATATCTTTCGTTTATTATAATAAGCAGATTTTATGACCTCACAATAATCAGCGATTTTAGGTGAATATTCACTAGCAAATTACAAATATTGTTCATAAGAAGGTTGTGTAAATCAAGTACTATATAGGAAGGTTATTTTTGCCGGGATAGAGTGGTTAATCTCATACTCAACATTCTACTCTTACCCAGTAGTAATCCTGGAAGAGCTCCAGGCACCCTAAATGAAAGCGTTAAATATTTAGTTAACAAATATAAATTATTGTTCTCAATAAATACCTATTATGTGATCATAAATAATTGTGAAAAATACCCATATTGTGATTTCACAGTTATTATATAATATACCCTTGTGGGCCAGGATAATTTTACATTGGTTTTCAGGAGAATCAGACACCATCCGGACTTTTACGTGACAACCCAAACAGTACAGCTCAACCCCGTTTTGATTTAGAATGACATATATAAGTGAACAATACTGTTTTCGATTAAATCTACATCAGGCTTTACTCTTAATAAACAGTAATATTGATATGAATATACGAAATTATTAAACCAATCATGGTAGTTTATGAGTCAATCGGGATAGTAGAATAGATTACATAACTAAATATAATAAGTGAAAAGTAGAAATTGGTAGTATGATGACAGGTGTACTAGTAGTGATAAGAATAACAAAGGCTTCAATCAATATTACATAATGGGAAATAGGTCAGTAGTTAGAAAAATATAGACGTAATAAGAAGTGTTCAGATAATTTGAGAAAATAAAATAAAATGGTAGGAGAGGGTGAAGAAAAATCAACGACGAGGAAGTATGTAAAGTAATAGTAAATAATATCATTTATTAAGGCCAAGGAAGAGAAGAAGGTGTTACAAACTTTTATGAACACAAACACTTGGGTTGGTGGCTCGAACTCCCATTGCTTTCGCTATATGTAAGAGTCGAGATCAAACCCCATAAGGAAAACTAACCTATTTCTGTCTTCTACATGACCGCCATCGATCAAGTATGATAGAACCGAGCTGCGCATTGTGTTGACAGTACCTTCTCCTAACCACGTAGGGAGGTATTCAATAACTCTTTGACTCAGGTGTCTGGTAGTGCGCCCAATATAGCTTTCTCCATAGGAGCAGCTGGATTCGTAGATACACATATAAGTGGCATAACCATGTGACTTATCATTTAGTTGGGGAATCGCCATAGATCGGATCAAATACGATAGAGAGAGGTTGGTTGCATTAAACGTTCTCTTAACTGCTCTAGTCAGTCCATAATCACGTAGCGCATCACCAGCTATATCTCCATTGAATTGCAGCTTCAGGAAGAGAGGTTTCTTTCTAGCTGTTGATGTCGTTATTTTTTTTATTTGTTACAGGCAAAAGATTCTTAAGGAAACCTTGTGAATAACCCATTTCAATCAACATATTATGTATGAGCTCTAATTCCTTTTTAGCTCTGTTTGCAAGACATTGGACTAGACTTCTTTTACATTGAAGATGTACAGAGCTCAAGAAATATGTGTACTGCCTTGATGAAGAGCTTTTCCTATACACAGTTCTACTGATAGGACTATTTTCTTTTCTGTTTAATAAAAGGTCAAGGAAATGTAGTTTATTATATAGTTCCTATACACATATCAATATTACTGTATATTAGAGTAAAGCTTGATGAGGATCTAATCTAAAACAATATTGTTTACTTATATATGTTGTTCTGAATCATAAATAAATGAATTAAAACATTATCTAAAGGATTCTCAACATTTTCATTTACTAAAATTTGAATGAAGACAATTAAAATCGTATGATGACTTTCTATTGTCAGTCAGTCAGTTCGGTCAACAACAACGTAGAACTACGTACATACGTATACCAGTTCGAGTTGCCATACCACATTAGCACAGAGATACAATTGTCGATTCAAATCCCGTAGTGGTGGAGGTAGTAAACATATAAGCAATAATCAGAAAGATCAGGGTTTGAAGATGTTATTCAAAGAGTATAAACCAGCGAAATATATTTGGAAGAAGATTCAGTAGGTTAGAATTTGTGAGAACATAAAGAATGGATGCACCTGCGCCACTGCAAACGATTTTGAGTCATGTCATTCAAGGTCTCTAACCATCGGTTGCTATCGTTTTGCGAATCCAAAGCAGGTAGTCTACACCTACCAACATGGCTCAGTCCACTTGTCAGTGAATTTATTGATTTGTGCCATGTTTTGGTATGGCCGCCCCTAGCTTTCTTCCAACCTACTCCTACACCATAAAACATCACACATCGAAGCAGTCGATGGATGGGCATATGTAGCACATGTACCAGCCATTTCAACTAATGAACTTTCACTACTTCATCAATTGTACATAATTCAATTAACAGGTAACATATGAATACAATTAGATAATTCGAAAAAATATAACTTGTGAGCTTCTACTATTTTCTATTTCATATTCATAATAATTAACAGAATTCTATATTTCACTTATTGAAATCATGAGTCAATTGAAGCCAGACCACTATGGAAAACTTGGACGGCCGTTTCGTCCTACTACGGGACTCCTCGACAGTGCGCATCCACGATCCCGCACCCACGGGACTCGAACTCAGGACCTATCAGTCCCGCGTCAGGCGCTTAACCAACTAGACCACTGAGCCAGCATCCAACGGCGTTAATGTCTAGCTTCAATTGACTCGTGATTTCAACAAGTGAAATTTCTAAAAAATCTCCGCATAACCCATTCTGATGAAAATTACATATCTTTTATGAAATAATCTATTACACTATAATTTTTATTTGCAAATTTTTCTTTTTATAGAATACCAATTCAATTGCCTAAATGTGTAAACATTGAGTTGGTTCATGTTGCTTACAAAGTATGAATAACAAAATATTATTACGTAATCGATCCTAGAAAAAAAGGGAAGGAAATCATTCGAAAATAGAATTCAGCTAAAAATAAAGCGTAATGAATAATACTGTTTGAGTTTCTTGTTTGTATTTTTCACTGTTTTCATTATACTACTTAATTCATTAAAATGTTCTGGATATCTGTGATTTACATATTCCTATTTATTGATTCATATTGACTGTTTTCTTATATCACAAATGAGGAGTAATGAATACAAAAAATGATGTTGAGTGGACATTTTTTTGCATGAACTACAAATAAATGATGAATGGAATACTGTAATCTCCACCCGGATGAGTCTTTGTTTCTTCACTGTTAATTCAATGTTGTTGAGATCTGTTGAAATGTTCAAATTGGATTTTACTTGACATTTGAATTTTACTGTTTACATCTGAGAGTTATTTTTTTCTTGTCATAAAATATTGAATTGTTTTCTTCAGCTCTTCTAAACTAGACTACATTATTCTTTTAGACAGATAATTTCCCATTTAAACATTACGTATTACCTAATATAGTATTGTAATCTTTCTATTATGTCATCTTGATTATTCATTGTTCATATTTCCTCACGGAACTAGTACTTTAACAGAAATATATTTTCATATATATATACGATTGGATTGTGGCCTTTTAATTTTGAGTCACCTGATGATAGTCTTGAATCCTGGTATGATATTAGGTGTTCTTTTTAGAAATGAATGAAGTCTTATAAATAAGTGATTTTTATTCTGAGATAGTGGAGAAGATTTGTAGCTCAAGTGGATGATTTTGATGGAGTTTTGTTCTTTGAGATGGATGGTTTGGTCGTGGAGCTTTCATTGTTCTTCTAGACGACATTCTCAGCACACGATTCAGATAGAAGTCTGTGAGTGATGATGTCGTCCAGAAGAACAATGAAAGCTCCACGACCAAACTATCCATCTCAGAGAACAAAACTCCATCAAGATTTTTATTCTGAATAAATGCTTGGTTTATGCTGTAGATCTTGTCAAATTATCACTGTTACTTATTGAGTTAAATGAGGAAAAATTTAAAGAAAATATTGTATTATTTATATAGTTCAGTATATCTATCTAGTGTGCTGTACAACCATTCATGATATTATTATTATTATTATTACTAATAGCGTTATTCAATATAGAATTCTAAGCGCAAAGTATTTCAACAAGTTCTCTTTCCTTATTTCTTCATCTAAGCTGACGATAAATATTGAGTGATCGCCAGTTAGATGTGAGCAGTTCAGGAATCGATATCTGAATAATGATCATTCGTTTTAATGCATTGTGACATACATCACAATATCTTTGATTGTACTTTTTAGTAAGTTGTACGGTGAAATATTGCAAACTTTTCATAAACGCGATTAATTAGGTTATACGATTAACAAACATAATGATGTGTAAAAAACAAACAGAAAACAGGTAACTTATTGAGATATGTTGATATCAGGAACAGGTAGCTCAGATATTCAAGTAAACCGTCAAAGTTATCAAGAAGTACCAACAAGAAATAATAGTAATGGTTTAGTTGGATATCTAAGCCATGAAGTATACTTTTATGTTCTAACATTTTTGAATTAGTGCATTTACTTAAATGACAGTTTGTTGATTACTTATAATTTTCTAATATATGTAATTTCTACCTGAAGATCATTACCAAATCAAATGATACCTTTTTAACGTTGATAGATGCTTTCTAGTTTTAAAGAAATGTAATTGAAGATCTTATTACCGACGAAATATAGTTTAGATAATTGAGTCCTAGTCAACCGTATAAATGGTTTTAAACTGTTTATTTTTGACAGTTAATTTTTTGTTTTTTAGATTCATGAAGAGATATCAGAGAAATGTTGAGAAATCACCTTTGGGATAATCTTTCTATACACTTGTTTTTTTTCACATAAGAAAGTCATTCATATATACTTATCCATTTATGTTACTTCTTTTATTTAAATGTCACTTCCTCATATCTGTCCATTGAGTCAATCATCCTATAGTGATAAACTCTGGTTACATTCTGAGATCACTGATAGTCAATTGAAACTGGTTTGAACTTTGACTTTAATGATCAATTAGTGTTCTAGTCAAAAAGGACGAATTATTCTTGTTTTTTTTTAAAGAGAACTATAGATTTATTTATATCCAGTTTATATGTTCATATGGGAGATATATGGAGATATGGAAATATGGGATCTAGGTGATTGATGGTTTTCAATTGACACACATTGTAACCTGTTTTGGAACCGCCAAATTTTCTGAGAAATGAAGCTCACTAAGTAATCTTCTAGAACATAATAACTAAAGTTATTCATGATGTTTAAAATCGTTTATGATTATCCCTTATTCTATTCTAAACATTCATAATGAACTAGGTATTCCTTAATGTGACTACTAATTCTTCAGTCGAAATCTATTTTGCAGGTAAAATCGTTAGGACTGTGGTTACAAGATAATTACAGTGTAGATTTTGATTTCTTATAAAGAAGAAATCCTGATAATGAAAGAACCTGCTCACTCATTAGAAATTACGTTGTGAAATAATATTTAGCTACTGAGTTCTAAATTGTAGTTAGTAAAAATGGTTCAACGTCTTCTTTACATTATTATTCAGAATTTTCAACTGTATTTCAGTTTAGACAATTTGATATTTTTGGCAATTAGGCTTCTTTATTGAAATTAGAGATTTCATGCATCATAATACTATGAAATTATAAACTATTGTTGGTCCACCAGGGTGCTTGGTACCTGTATGGTTGTGTCACAGGATTAAGTTGTACTATTCAGATTGTAGCGTTAAAGCCTATACGGTTTCTGGCTCTCCAGTCAAACAGGATTGAACTGTGCTGTTTGGGTTGTCACGTGAAAGTATGGATGGTGTCTGGTTCTCCTGGAAACCAATATAAAATTACCCTGGCCCACAAGGGTATATTGCATAACTAACAAACTATTGTGCTTCTAATCTGGTATCAATAGTTAGACAGAGTTGAAATATTTGAACTTTCAAAAGTAGATGTTTTATTAAAAACTAACTATCAGCAGTACTATCATCAGTAGATGTAACACTACAGATTGTATTTGGAATATTAATTGCAACTGATTGTGGAATTGTTCATGAAATATTTGATACAGTCAGATAGGCTACTTGGGCCGAGTAAGTAACTCTGTATTTCGATGTCGTACTATCAGTTAATTGTCAAAAATTTTGAGGGAGCTAATGATAGCCTCGAGATTCGAACCTGACTTATTCAGTGTTAATGGATTTCGAAGAATATATCTTACAGGTAATATAAATACAATATAAGTCAACTGTATTAGCTTAATCATAGATAAAAAAATGTTATTATAGAACTGAAGTTATTCTAAAGATGACAATGGCAAATTTTGAAGATATCTTCATTGTTGAACAATGAGTTTTGGCTTGAACAGATTAGTGGCCATAAAATTAAGTTTCGTTTTGTATTCTTAAATATAAATATTTTACATTTTTCTTGACTCTTTCATTTATGATCAAAACATTTCATACATCGTTTTCATTAACTTGAATTTGTTATCTTTCAGGTCAAATAGTTAGTTAATTTAAATTAGTAGAATTTTGAAACATATTCATTAGAAAACCTTATCACGTTTTTATTAAATTGGTACTAACTATTCAGAAGTTGGTTCTATTTACATCGAGACTTTTAAACTTAGAGTTGATCAATATTCAGCAAGACATGTGCTTGTGTACAGATCAATTACCTTGATTAGATTGAGATCATGAACAGATCACTGTTAAACCACCATTGAAAACATGGAAGCGATGGAAGGCAGTTTTGTCTCAGTATGGTATTCATCGTAAGTGCACATCCACGATTCCGCACGCGGACTCAGGCCCAGGACTTCCGGTCTCGGGCGCGAACCCCTAATTTCTAGATCACTGAGTCGACATCTAATGGTGTTAATGTCTAATTTTAACCGGTCCACGAAATTGCGCGACCATCTTCTATTGCCCTTGGTGGATAACTGATTCTTACGATACGGCTGAACTTTACTGGTTACCGCTTCCCACTAGAACTCCATGGATTGTCTTCCGAAGCTGATCACTAGTGAGTACATGATAATTATCAGTATAAGGTTGTACAGATTGTTAGATTTTAATTGAGCACTGCTAAGTCCCATACTAGAACGAAATAGTCGTCCAGTGCTTCCAAATTATCAATGGTGGTCTATCACTGATCAGCTAATGATCTCAATTAAAACTTAATAATCACCACAACGTCATACATTAATTAGATTTTTTATCATCACACTACGATTTTATATAGCATGTTGTTAATATTTTTCTAGTATGAATCAAGTTTATTATGAAGATAAAATTTGGAGAAATATTCAAATCAAGTTCAATCAACTAACCATACACGAACCAGTAAAGTTGATGCTGAATACTGGGACGTAGTCATCAAAAACTCTTGTGTTTAAATTTGGCAATATTTGAAATCCTAACAAAACCTTCAAATAAATACCGGTTTCATAGAATCTTATAGTCAGGGACATTTTACTGAGTTACACGAAGTAAGTTGAAATCTGATTGACAGAATTTGAACTCAAATGATAATTAGATACATTATACTGGTTTCTACTAATATTGCATAAACATTCTTTTAGACATGTTTCTATAATACGCTCTCATTGTTTTCCTCTTATCAACACATGACCTGATTTTTACGAATTACATCCCAATTGGTGGAGAACCTATCTGAGAATTTCATCAATGAATATTACTGTTCTTTCAAAAGAATTTCCTGTTTTCAATTTCGGTAAACAGATTGTTTCATTACGAGTTCAAACGTAATATCATACTTATTTTCGATATTTTGATTGGCTAATTTCCCTTGACGACGTTTTTACATCTATTTTATTGATCAACTTGTAAGATCATAATAATTTATGGGGAATTGTTTGTCTTCGCATAATCAATAACCGTCTGTATGTCTATTAGGCAGTCTATGTGTTTATATTAAAAATAAAATATTTCACTTAGTTCTATAAACGTCTATCGAACAGTACGAATATGTCTATACAAAGTGAAAGAAATAATTAAAAAAACATTCTTGATCATGTAATACGATAGTCCGTAGACAGAAAATGATTTTTCTAGAATGTTTTGTTAATTTCATTGAACACATATGGGCAAACCTAACACCAATATAAAATAAACTTGAATAAATCCACTTAATGATAAGTTTCCTCATAAACTAACATTGAATATACACTATAGACAGTAGAATTGGATAATAAAAGTGTCATAAAAACCATCAATGTTTTATCCAGAAGAAAAAAACAAGGATGATATCTAGTTTCAAATCTCGCGGGGTGTGGGTCGTGGATGCGCACTGTTGAGGAGTCCCATACTAGGAGGAAACGGCCGTCCAGTGCTTCCAGGTTTTCCATAGTGGTCTAGCTTCAAATGGCTCATAATTTCAATCTGTGAAATTACATATTTGTTTGTTCACAGCGATAGATGGAAATTAAAAATGAAGTCTAGTTTAAAATGAATTAAAAAATGAGTAATGTTTCACATAAATCTAAATTAATTGAACTAGATACAAGGTTACTTTACACAACAGACTGAAAAGTTCTACAACGAACACAGTAAACATAAGCTTACATATTACACTTCTGTTATTCAATGATTTATTTATGACTATTGATGATTCCTTTTTATTATTGTATATTCCTTGTGTATCTTTGTTAATACTGTGTGATATTCTAGAACTATTATTTCAACTATCTATAAAAATGTCCGTCTGAAACATTCAAACAGGCGCCTTACTACAAATACGTTTTATAAATGATTTTACATTATCCTAATATCAAGTACTTTTTCTAAACATTCCAAACATCTTAGTTGCTTCAATCAATTATACTTATCAAATTGTACATTGTAGATGGATCAAAAGTAACAACGTCCATTGAAACTATCTTATTCTAAGAATATTCTCATCCTTTTTTTTATTGAAACATGAAAACATTTGAATTATCACCAAAATACTTAATGTTTAGTTGGAAGCATTACAGAATTTTGGACTGAACAACATTCAACGGATCAATTTTTATAAGTCATAACTGTTTAATTTAGAATATGGGATAAAAGTTACACTTCAACAGTTACATTATGATGACAAAATTTTTCCAAGTATGCTTCATTCTCAAAATATGTTAATTGTAGACATAACACTATTAAATGCAATGTAACATATACTTTTTCCATTAGTGCTTAACAATGATACTTGGATGAGCCAAGATAAATAAAACTGATTTTGTTTTTTAAACAAAGTAATGAAATTTGTCGAAAGAAATCATCAGTAAAATAGAAATTTCAATAAGTAAATAGAAGATAAAGAATGAAATCTAGTAAACTATGAACATTCCACCAAGAAGATTTAAAATAAATGGAAGTGTACACTCTCATAATTCCTTGCATAGAAATGTCTGAAATGTATGCAGTATACATACGTAGTTTACAATGTCATTTAAAAAATCAAATCAAAAACATACAATCTTCACATTTGTTTTAAGTTTGAACTTGATTACACACACTATCAGTTATGTTTCGAGGTTATTTGTTGCCAGGCGCGTAAAATTCTTTCGTCTATTCAAAAATCACGCCAAGATTAAATCGACAAATATTTCTGGAAATGAACGAAAATAATAAACTTGAGAATTCATTGATCACAATGTCTATTTGTTATTTGAAATGGTTTGTATTCTCCCGTCGCCAGTGTTAATAACTACAAATAACCAGTCTATATTGAGCAAGTTGCCTTAATATTAACATCTCTTCACACGTTTTTAGTCACATTCGATAGAGGCTGATAGTGGAATCCAAGATGAATGGTTTATCCTACTTGGGACTCGTCAATTTGGTGTACCTAACACATTTCAACATCAAGGCTCTCCACTGGACTCGAACATAGTACTTATGGTTTCAAACAATAAACCCGTTGTTCACTAAGTTATGAGTTTAACTAGGTACTAATATGTGCGAGAGGAGATGAACTGAACTGTACACGTCTGTATGATTTCGTCTGTGATGTAAATGACTACAATTGATTGCTCGTGAGAGCGATGGTTATGTTGGAAGCGAAGAGTAATTAGGTAAAAACAATTTCATGTTCGGGAAAAGTTACACAGTGCCTTTGTAAAATATTGAAATCATACATTAAATACATTATTTGCATATTCTCATCTGCACATCTCCATCGTTCCTCCAATTCTGTAGTGTTCTAACTGATCTCTGTTTTATTTCTTTTCTTTATTTCAGTTTTCTGGTGATAAAGATTCCACTTCCAATTCTTGATATATACTTCTTATATCTGTTCACATAAGTAGTACACACTGAAATTGCTTAAACAAGACGTCGCATTCCTTAGATTAGTATCAAACAACAATTGTTCTTGGATGTTTATAATCAGTCTAAATGGAAAATTCATTTAATGTTTTTATATTACTACGATTCCTCTAACTGTATTTTCTAAAGTGCTATGTTATAAATCAGTACGAAGTTTAGTGAAATGAGTGTATGTATTCTGAATCCCCAACTAACATTACTTATAAGTCTGTGAATAAACTCTATTTGAAGAAAGGTTAACGGAAGCCCAGTAAATCTTGTTATTATTTGGAAACCAATAGGAAGTGTTCTTATACAGTTCTTTGAATAATCTACAAAATACACGGAAGTGTTCTGAGACCTGCTGCAAAATGTCTTTTTCATACACATTTGAATGGATTAGATTATTCCGTTGCTGAAATGTTAACTGAAATTTGTTCTTTCCCACGTGGCATATAAGCATCCTATATGGACTGCCTCGATATAGCTACTGTAATAAAGTTCCCATGAAAAAGATGAGACATGGCTACCAGTGTAATCCAGGACCCACATTTCTTAGTGTTTGATACTCGGAGTGAACACCAACTCTGAGATGGAGGTACATTGAGCTGGTTAGTACTAAATAGTATGAAAGCGCTTTTGAACTCTATTGCTGTTCACGTTCTGACTGTCTGGAAATACTGGAAATGACATTCAAGTACTATGAATTACAGTTCAATTCTTGATCTTTCAAGAGTTCTTCTATTTAGAATTATTGTGCACAACAAAATCAGATAGAAATATTTATTTGAAATGAAATGCATATTTATAACCGGAACTACATTTCATATTGTTATAATAATGAAGAAGATTACAACCAACAAATGAATAATATTGCGTGATTTTAAAAAATTGACAAAGTACTTAGATAATTTCAAAATATCAGTTGAACAACTGAAACAAAATAAACTCAAACTAATTGGAGAAAATAAACTACTGTTAACGAACAAAGTCAATAAAAACTCATTTTTCAATTGGGTGTTTGGATCTTCTCATTGACGTTTTAGACTGTGATTGATCAGTCACCCATTGACATTTGTACATCATGTGAGTGTCACCTTGATATTACTTTAGGTCACAAGTATTATGGACAGGGATGGTTGGTGGCTAGCAGTGGAATCCAGAATGTTCGTTTCGCCCTATTTTGGACTCGTCAGCTGCATGTAATTGGTACTTGCACCCCTGAGTTGGTGTTTACTTCGAGGCTCGAACCCGGTACCGTTTGTTTTAAACGCGGTCGCACTACCCACTAAACTACTGAGTCTAGATAGCCAATTGTAGTCCTAAACGTCAGTGGAAAGATTCAAACAATTAATCCAAAAATGAATCAAACTTCACCCCATTGCACAAGCTAGTGGCTATTCGTACTCTATAAATAAGTGTATGGCGCGATGGCGTTTAAAATGAACGGTAGTCAGTTCTAGTCCCAGAGTGAACATCGGCTCTCTAATGCAGGTTTATTCATCTGTCGAGTTTCAAATAAAACGAAACGTGCGTCCTGGATTCTGCCATTAGTCACCATCCATCTCTGATTATTAAGTCTTTAAAAGCTTCTATATAATCATCAAAACGATCTTCCGTGGAAATGTACTAAAAGATAACATATTTTTTAGATAATATCGGTTAAAAAATATCTAATTTTAGTAGTGTTGATTAAAAACTTGTTCCTGAATTCCTGGCTTTAATATTTCAAGATCTTGAAATCCAATTTCAGTTGCGTAATTGGCTTACGGATTTAAGAAGTCTGGAATTGCAACAAAATAAATGTCTAGTAATCACTGGTTTTAAATGATTTTTCAGTAAAATTAACAATTTGAAGAAATTCTTAGAATCGCTAAAGATTATATGCTCAATACGTATTAGCTATATGCACAATTTCCTATGTTTCAGGAGGAAGCCGTAAGTGACGATGTCCATTCACATGAAAATGGAAACCAATGTTTCCAACAATATCGGATAGTTCACGCGTTCATCATAAAATGATTTAATTTGTAAATAAAAATCAATAGATTTTAAATGATTGACCTAAGAAAACAGTGATTACTGTGAAAAATGAATGCTTTTGGTTCTAATTGTATCTAAGTTACCAGTGCTTACTAATTTGAAGTTCAATACTGGAATGAAACAGCTGTTAAATGTTTCTTATATATCTAAATGGTTTTCTATTTGAATTTAGTTCGTAACAAAAATCATTTTCAAATTACTCTGGTTTCCATCTTGATCTTCGTCATTTGAAAAATACAAAATATATATACTTTCATTTCAACTGTGATATAAAAGTCTTTTAGGGGTTCGTTGCTTTTAATTTAAAAATATAATTATGATTAATAATAACTGATCAATGATATGACTTACGTGATCAACTACAATGGTCCGTTTTGATTTTTATACATTCATCGATTCTTCGACATAAAGTAGAAAAATACTCGTCAAATGGATACTTTCCAGAAATGTCGATACGATTTTCTCTAGCAGTTATAAGACCAAGCCAACCCTTTGGTTTGTAGTCACGTTGTGCACGTAAACAAATAATTGGTTTTTTCAAACAAACTGCATATGTTGCTTCTGTTCAATAAAAAAAGATTTATTATCTACTTAACACCGGAAAATTAAAATACTTTGCCACATTGATAACTATGAACTGTTACAATTTTTTTTAAAGTATAACGTTCATTTGTAGTTTCATAGTAAATAAAACCTAAGAGTTAAAACCGAACATTACTAGATAATATATAATGTTTTATTCTTCAACATTCAGTCGTGCTTTTAAAATAGCGACTGCCTATTTATCCATTAATTTAAAAACAATGAATTAACTGCATATGGTTATTCGGATTCAACTGTGTAAGCTAACAGAAAGAAGTCAATAAGTGTAGGATCTAAGGCAATTTTGGCCATTTAATAACATTTCAAATGCAAATGGTAACCAAGTTTATGCTTCAGCCGTCTAACCGAAAAATATAGTTAATAAGATTTTATATGATTCCTGCTGATGGTGTGGTGTGTGCTACTTATATTGACATAAGTAGTAGATGATTCTAGTCGTGAACATAAGGTCTGGCAGCAGAGAAGCAAGAGGATCGAACAGTAAAGAATGGAAACATAATGTAATTTGTATGAAAATGCAAGAACAATGAAGTCTGAGTCATTATGAGATAATTGATGGACATTTTGCAAATTATGTATTTACTATTTGATTGTACTATTTTATTGACAAGTCCTGTAATTTTGTGACAAATACATTCGATTATCCCCACTGGTGTTCTTGTTCGCTACAATGGTAACTAGACAAGGTCTGAAGGTCCTGGCTCATATCTTTGCTCAAGTTGTGGATGATCACTTCCAAGGTGTCTCATACTACGTCAAAACAAGTGTCTATTGCCTTGTGATTTCTGCAGTTGTTATATCAAACTTGATCCGTGATATCATACTTTAAATATATGTTGAAATAATTAATAGCGGAATGTAAAAATCGATTAGATTTCTTGTGAAACGATTTTTTGTTAAAACAGTCAAAAGATTGCTTATATTATGGAATACTTTTGGCGAATTGTCGGACTTGACTGTGGTTGGGTAGTGATTTCACGCAAATTCAAATAACTGGTGCAAGCACGCAATGAAAGGTTATTATGACAAGGAATAACTAGTGAGCAAAATTACGGTTTTACTGTATAACTGAATGACGTGGACATTTACAAAATCTTCGACTCAAAATAAACAGGACCACAATTTGATGAAAACTTTAAAAATATTGGATTTGTATTTCGTAGATCATTTAGGAACCAATAGATTTGAGATGTTAAAATTGAGTTTATTTGTGTGCTCATTATATTGTTACTAATAGTAAGTGCTATTACAACTGAACAAACACAAAGGTTTTTACAAGTGTTTTTGTAAATGCTTGAATTGATGTAAACTAATTACAACTACCTCTAGAGAAATGAATGCAGTAATTTATTCTAGGTTGAACAATTATGAAAATGATGATACCAATTTTTAAGAATTTCGTAACTAGATATACTTTGGTAGTAAGATATTCTCTTTATTACATGTACTTATAATGAGGTCTGTTAATTCCTTGAAAAGAAACATCCGTAAGTACTGGCAGCTACTGTGGAAGTAAGCGGCACTTGAGAAACGATTTCAAAAATTTAAGAACGTGGTTTTAATTGAGTGTAAAACGATAAAATAACTGTAAATTCTGATTTACGATTACTTCCAAAAATATTTGGTAGTATCGGAATGGAGGGTAGTATGAGCGTTTAAAATATGTAGCTTGTAACCAATGCATATTCTTCAAATTATATAAAGTTGCCATGACCATTAAACAAAGTTTTATCATGTAGATTACTTACAATGATTGTTATATCCTAGTGATGATTAAATTACAGGAAACTCCCGAGGACTATTAACGGACTAACATTTTATAAATATTCTTATTGTAAAACTATTGAGTAATTAGATTATGTATATTTATATTCCTCTTATTATAAGCTTTATTTCGACCTATATTTTATTATTTTACGATTTACGACTCTCAAGTTATGTTCAGTTTATTGACTACTGCCTCCCACTTTCACAGCCACTTTTTGGCTTATTTGTGTACACATGTTATTTTCTATTTTATGGTACGTTGTGGTCTGTCTGATTGATATATAAACCGAGTATATCTGAACAAAACGATTCGATCTGATTCGATTCGATTCATACTACAGAAGCTGGTATTGTGTTCTGGACTTAAGTGGAAGGGCTAGGAGGACATAGGACCAATCAGGACGCTAAACTGCTCATACTGGTTGAACGTCATTGGTTTGGCATAGTGCAAAATTGTATAAGTCGTATTCTGACTGGTCGATAAGTCGCGTGATAGAAAGCCAGACATTAAGGTCATAACAATGATGTGCTCTAAAGACAATTACTGGTAGAAACACTATAGCTGTTAAAGAGATATTAACGATTATCGATATATAGATGATAATAATGGTTTAAATTTTAAAACACTAATCGTAATAATTGTAGTAACCTGAATAATAGTTTCTTGGTTTTTCATTGATAAGTATTATATTGCTGTATCAATCTCATATTTTAATGCACATTATGTAACAGTTATATGTAATTTCCAATAAGAATTGTTATAAAGTGTTAAGCATTGTCCACTTTCAACTGTCCAATCAAATGTGAAAGTAGTAACCAATCGATTTCGGTTTAACCAATCGGATAATATGAGTGTTCAAGGAAAAATACATCAAACTGTACTCAGTGTATTTGGTTATTCTTTTAAATTAATTTCACTTACCCATTTCAGCATATTCGCTATTTTTATAATTTTCGGAATATATAATACATACAGCATAAGATTTTTCTATGGCTTCAGCCATACTTCTAAATGTATTTGCAGCATATTTCAGATTGTCTTGATCAAACCATACCTGATACAATGAAAACATTAACACTTATATAAAGACATTTCTAAATAAGTATCAATTATAATCGGAAATTATTAATGGTTTTCATCATCTAAATTAATAGCTAAGCGTTTATTAACCTTGATTTTTCAAACATGTAGTGTTGTGATGTGTGCTACTGATGTCGATAGGTATAAGTTTTACGTGTCATCAATCTAAAGTGAAATGCCTGGAGGTAGAAGGTTAAGAAGATCAAAGAAAAGAGAAAGAGAACAGACAATGATAGGTGTGCAAACGAAGGAACAGTCAATTCTGAGACAATTGACTGATATTTTGAAAATGAATTATTTATTGCATGGTTGTTAGATTTTACTAAGATGTTCTGTAATTTCGTATTCAAACACATTCGGTTGTTCCCAATTGTATGTTCTCGTCTACTACTGTGATAACTAGCTTTTGAATAACCTAACAGTTAATGACGTTCTGCTACGCCTTTCGAGAAAAAGATTTTTACATTTGTTTCATATGTTCTGCTAACATATATCTATAGTAGGTGACAACTATATATTGGTCTACAATATCATAAATTGATAGATATAATATTATCAGGATGAGTTTTGTGGAGATTTTAGGAAATTTCACAGGTTGAAATCATGAGTCAGTTGACGCTAGACCACCATTGAAAACCTGGAAGCACTGGACGACCAAACCATCGAGCTCAGAGAACAAAACTCCATCAAAAACAATTTTCGAGTTTTGAATGCAAATCAAATTGTGAGAATTGTGTTTTGTTTTAATAAATAGAACCTTTATTTTATTTATTTATTTAATCACCACAATTATACATTACATAAATAGCTGAATTATAAGTTATATTGTATTTAATGAATAATATGAAATTATAGAAAGAAGTAATGTTGACATTTGATCAAGTATTTCGAGTATACTTAATTTACGTTAATCATGAATGATTTCAAATGTCAAACAATAAAAAAAAGGAGAATACTCATATTTTAATTTTGGGCAATGTTATTAATGACATTTAAATATTACTAATCTATTGTATAGAATCCGGTTGACATTTTATTAACAAGATTTTTCTATAGGGTGGGGTTGCTGACCTCATGCCTAACCCTCCTCCTTTACCCGAGCTTGAGGCCGGCAGTAACTGTGGGACAGCTACAGGCTGAGTTTTAAGCCCTGTGTGTAGGGCTGCCAAATAAAACTTTAATTTTTGGTCGACGGTTCTTAGCATACAACAAATCACAAGAGTAAAACCGTGACCATCATCAAGAAGGTACAAGTATTTATGAACGGTTGTCTGCTCAACATTCATTGACCGGATACCATCAGCAACAGCCTTCTGTGGGAGAGAACAAACCAGCTTCCAGTTGAAGAGGAAATTAAGAAAAGAAGTTGGAAGTGAATAGGACATACATTACGGAAGTCACCAAACTGCATCACGAGCCAAGCTCTGACTTGAAATCGTGAAGGGAAACGGAAAAGAATAAGGTCAAAGAACACACTACGTCATGAATCGGAAGCAGATATGAAAAGGATGAATAGCAACTGGAAAGAACTGGGAAGGATTGCATAGGACAGGGTTGGATGGAGAGTGCTGGTGGGCGGCCTATGCTCATCCACAATGAATAACAGGCGTAAGTAAGTAGGTATTGAATAGAATATAAACTGTTATGAGAATACATAAAAACAGGAACATTTTTCAACAATGATGAAAGAAATCACAATTTTATTGTTAATTTTTATTAGTACAGTCGAATAATGTAAAGTTTTAGATGTTTTTAAAAAAACTTCACTAACCTTATATCCTTCTTCTTTTAAATGTTTTGTAAGATTTATTGCAATTTCTTTCTGTTTATGACTATAACTTATCATTAAATGTTCAAGTTGCGTAGAAGAATTTAAGTTGGATTCATAATCTAGTGAATTCTTATCTAAATTATAGAATTAAAATAATAAAATGTCAGGAGCAATTCTGCATCAATGAAGACTATATAAATGTATATCACAATGATATTGTTTTCAGTTATATACTGATTATTCTAAACTCTTATAAACTGGAAAGGATTGCCCAGGATATAGTTGGGTGGATAGTGCTGGTGAGCGGCCTATGCTCCTCCACGAGCGGTTACAGGAATAAGTAAGTAAGTAAGTACAATAAGTCGACTGGAAAATCACAAAGTTTATTTAAATAAATCTTCCTTATATCACCTCTGATTATTCTGTCACGCAAGATATCACTGGTTATACTGTCTTTGATTTAGAGCTTATTGAAAGGAGATCTCTAATGAACAGTCTATGCCTCTAACTCCTAATTCGTTGTTAATAGTAGGCTTTCGACGTGCAAAACGCCCTAGCTGTTATAGAAAAACAAATACAAACTTTTAATCGACCACAACAACATTCTAATCACCTGATTGATGAAACTGAGCTAAAATAGTAATAACCTAGAGGCAAAAATATAATGGTTTAAATTACAGTATTTTCAAATTAGTATACAAAATTTAAATAAATTACAGTAACAAAGGAATTGGGGATGATACCATATAAGTAACCGGAAAAATAAGAATAGAAAAAGATCAGTGTTAAACGCAAATGATCATTGGTTAAATATGAAATAGTTGAAGGTTAGGAAGTGAACAGTCTATCTCGTTAAGAACCTGTTGTAAAGAAAAACTATTTTCTACTATCAGAGGAAACTTATTTAAGACGTCATATTTTGCTGAAGTAGGTAATTATATGTGGTCTAAACAATGTATTCATAATACATTGAAACGTCCGTCACGATATATGAAAAATAAAACATAAAAATAAACATGTAGTAATAGAAACAAGCTGGGCGGCAAGAAATTAGTCACATATAGAAATAAAATAAGGCAAATCAAAGTGGGTTTTTATAGGATTTCACAAGATATACCATGTAGTTTAATCTTTTATCATAGGAAATTTGAAATCTTTTTTGTGATATACATACTTCTAACGATCAAATTTATAATCAGAGTAGTAGACTTTACTGGAGCTGCTACAAAATAATTATTTCAATTACGGGCAACCATATAAAAATGTCTGATTTTGTTTTTCAAAAGATTCCTAATAAACAATAGAAATCCATAAATATCTCTTCATTTTGGTAGTGAAGTTGGGAAAAAAATGTCTAGCGATCACTGAAATAAATTATATTCCAGCTAAATGTTTATATAGGTTTTGTGTTGCTTAGTTCACATATTGATTATGCAATACACTTAACTAAGTTCTGACAATTTTCCTTTGTATCTCAAAGATGAAAGTTGCGCATATTCTGATAAGTTACTACTTTACACTCACCATTATTTTGGCAATTTAAACAGAGAATTCACTATATTCCAGATAACATTACGCCTAGTGGTTTTCTGTGACTCTTTAACAATGGAATCTTAGATTGAAAACTTCTGACAATGAGTTTTATTACTTAAGTTCCAAACCAATCTTAGTTAAACAGTTATGTTGGTTATGAAGATAGTGCTTCGAAAAATGGAAGATGGTCGAACAATATCACAGATTGGTTGAAGTTAGACATGATTATTGAGTCCTGAATCAATGATTCAAGGGTTAAACAGTCTTGCTCGAGACCAAAGGTCCTCGATTCGATCTCCGGTGATGAGTCGTGGATGCACGCTGTTGATGAGTTATATACTAGTACGAATCAGCTGTTCCTTATTCCCGAGACATCACCGAGTGTATAACCTAGAATAATCTGTTAAATTTAATACAGTTCAGCGACTTCAACAACCTCCATATTGAGAAATATTCATTTGAAAATAATGAATATTATTCCCAAACACATAGTAATAACGACTGATACTTATTTTTAATTTATAGATAGGTAAATTATATGTCATATTCGAAATCTGTTGATTATTGGTGTCAATACCAAGTTTGGACGTGATAATCTCAAATAATATGAACATTGGATAGAGAGTTAATAACAAATATATTTTCGATATATCCATATGGGAAATTAAAAATTTATTTACCATTGAGTATTTGCTTTAATGTCGTTAGTAAAGTCACTTTATGATGAATAGTGGACGTTTTATGGGAAAATGTTAGATTATGGATGGAAAAATCATATCCTCATTTTCTTAAGTTTTTAGTCAACTACATTGAGTTTATTTGATAAAGCTAATTTGTGTTTGTTACAATGTTGACCCAGAATCTTTGCAAGTCTACATTTTTTATGACTTGCCGATAACTCAAGAGAATGTAATTTTATGAACACCTTTTTATTTTTGAGTATCGAGTAACTTTTGTGAATTACTTTTGATTCAGCGATAAGTGGGCTATATATACTAGATAAATCTATTGCATTTTCTTTTCAGAAAACCATTTGTGTTAGTAAAATACCATAGAATTTTACATTTACATAAAGTACTGGTTTAATATCTGATTATCTTTATATATACTAACCTTGACTCATCTGCCATAGAATGCTATTAAGTGCTTTCTTTATGTTGTTTGAGGTTTCAGACTCTTCCGCTATGAAAGATATGTCTAAATTCCTCAATATGACCCCAAAGTCTCTTCTTATTCTGTCTTTTGTCCCAGAGTTGAGTGTTAATTTCAATAGAAAAAGTATAACTTCTTCTAATACTTTTCCTGTCAGTGTTTTTATAGTGCACTGAATGCTTTGCAGTATAGCCGACTGGCATATGAACTGTCTGTTTTGATCGCTAGATGCCAATAGTCTCAAACCTGTAAAAATAATAAAAGAAGGAACACCGATTGTCTGTATTTGGACGGCCTAAATTTCGTTCGCAAAGTGAAGGTGACAAATCGATCACCCAACAGCAATAACTGACTCCTTTATTGGTTACTGGTAAGTGTCATTTCAAAAAAGCTTTTGCGGTGATAGTGAATTCAACCTTTTTTACACCAAAAGACTGTTCGTGATTGTATTAAATATTTTTTGAATGTTATTCTAATATTATCTATGGAAACTTGCACTGATTTTGAAATTGATCAAATTAATGACACAATTATGAAATATTCATTGTAAAAGTCTAACGAAATTTCCACGTGTATTATCTCTTCTTGTATACATGTTGTGATGTGGCCTTCTGAGCCAAAATTCCGGAAGATTTTTGCTTTTATAACATAGAAATCATAGTTAGAAATGGGGTTCAGTTTGCCCTTTTTTATCTCACATTAGGCTTATCAACCAGTATATCTGTATGTCAGTATTGGTGCTCACAGTGACAATTTATCTCTAAATGGGAATTAAAAGACAATGATTTAATTCGAGACCAAACAAAACCTTATAGACGATTGGCCAAAAATTATGAAAAAACGTCGTTATGTTTGAAACGTGATGCATCTAATATAAACACGAAGCTGTAATATTGTTCCTGGTTGACAATTACTGAAAGTAACAATTAATAAAAAACTCAGATCAAAACGACAAATATGTCTAGGAAGAGAGAAAGCACTACACAGTTAGATTGAGCCAATTTCGCGACGGTATTTATGAATGGCCGAATTCTATTTTTAAAAGCTCTATGGGTGATTAAAGGCATCGTCGCTGTAATTTCGACAACCTGTTTTTGAGTGATCTTACATACTTGGATAATTAGTCGTTCCTTTTAATCTGTTAGCAAATATCACTGTTACCAATTGGTCAAACGGCTCGAGTTTATTTATGTCGCGTTATGCATGGAATCTTGTTTTATTTAGGATGAATGAAACCGTTCTAATTTACTATCCGATTTCTCTTTAACTGTCTATGAACTATTAGAATTGTGACATTCGTTTGTATAAATTACCTTTTTTTAGTTTCATAGAATCTTATTCGTACCAGGATGGCCTGTTAATCGCTTGTGCTTTTGTAACATTCAACAGCATTCCTTGTATCATAACTGTACTACAATATTTGACTCTGAACTTTTACAACTAGTTATTATTGAATAACGTTTAGGAACTCTGTAAAGTAAGTATCCTCGATGTAACAGACAGCAATCAAAAAATGTTCAAAGAAGTCTACTAAAACGTGATCATCAAGTGTAGGGAATCAGTTACGGAGTCGATAGCATTTCGTTAAAAAGCCTGTCGTATGAAATAGTGATAATGAAATACAATACTGCAGGTCAATAGAAATGTTTGACTTCCTGTAAGAAAAACCACTAAAAATAAACTGTTTCATGAAGACCTCTTAACACACAGTATTCAACTGAGATAAACAGATTTGTCCGGCTGATATCTGAACTAACTGCTGAGATAAGGTTTTCAGTAAAACAGCTCTCAAAAAACAAACCCGTTCGGTTTCTTCTTATTTACAAAACCTGTGGGTAAGGGACTGAGAAAAGTAAAATATACGAATGAAATAGGGGAACAAAGGATTTTCATATGACTTCTTCAAGTACAGAAATAGTAGTTTAGGCCTCCAATGTCAATAGAGGCGTTCATGGCGCTTAATTAAGTTTGTTAAACTGTAAACAATATGATGACAACCAAAGTAAATAAAACATGTAAATGGAACTATCCTTTTAAGATTTCTTCACATGAGTAACCATATCCTTGTCGAGGGTTTATCAAGAGCAGAAGCGAGCATATTCACCATAAAATTTATATTTTCTTCATTCCCAGGTATTAGCTGATCTTCATTATAAATGTACGCTAAGCTTAGATAAGAAGCTAACTAAAAAAAATGGATATCAGTTATTATCATACTTGCAAATTAGTATTCGTGGACTTCGCATAATATGTAACAATATCTATGAGATTATGCTTTTTGAGGGCAGAACATATTATTGGGCTTTCGTGTTGCAGCATGTTGTAAAGGGTTTTTACAACTATTTCTATCATCAACGTGATTTTCTAAGGAATAATCCCAAATTAAATTTAGCTTGAACTTCTTACCTTTTCCTCACTACAAGTTCCGTTGTGCGACAATATGGCTTGATGAATACGATATATTTCCTTCAAATAAGCATCTTGCATTGACATTTTCTCTGCCAGTAATTCACTTAGTTCAAGATAATTGCACAAAGTCAACTGAAAGGATGATAGCAGTTTAATGTACTGTTCATTGTAGGATTCTTTCCCAACACTCAGAGATCTGAAGGAATATTCTCCCAAGTTGGTAAAGATCTGAGTAAGACGGTAGGGGTACTCACCGCTAGATAACACTTTTGTAGCTATCCAAAGGCGATAATCTTCCACTGCGTTTTTAGGATTCTCGATGGCAAAAAACTCCTGTCGAAAAGGTGAATGATTGATTTGAATTCATTTGAACCATATCCTTGGTCTGAGGGGATTTTAAACATATGGTCGATCACCCTGATAGTTAGAGTCTTGACATCATCTGTAGATTGATCCATGAATCAATCTACAGTGTGTTGTATTTCATTCATCAAACATACATCATTCCATCATCAGACGTCAAATCACTTGATATTGGGGTTTTTATTAATTTCAAACAATGTCATTCAGATAGGTTGATGCATGAAATATGAACGTGGAGCGAAAACAAATTATTCTTTTATTGTTAGCGCGTTCGATAACAGTGATTATTATACAATCTCCAATATCTACCAGTCAACTTTCTCACATATGTTAATCCTCCCGATTATATCCGTACTGTTATTGATACGATACCCAAAATCCAAAATTTATGTATAGATGTTGTATTGACGTGTCGATTTCTTGACGCTCACTCATTAAACGATATTATGTATTTGGTACGACATAGAATCTTCAGTACAAAGTATTTCGGCAATTAAGAAAACAACCGATAGCCACATGCATGTACACATAATTAATGTAAAGAAGTGTATTGAAGTTTAGCGAGATGTCTTTTGGGAAAGTCGAAATTTACGCAACATTTAAATTAGAGATGTACTTGAGAATATACGATAAGGCGGGTTTAAGAATAATAGCGGCAACGTATATGATAAGCTAGATAAGAAGTAGTCACTGGTATAGGGTGATGATAATAGTGGGTAATTTATGAGTTATCAGGAACAGATAGTCCAAGCGTGAGGTGGTAATCCTTGAGTGAGCGTGTGTTGCCGTATCTTAATTCAAAGCCATCTAGTGATGGAGCTGTGGCCAGCCCGGCTGGCAGCGCACTCTGAGTGGGTAAAACTCTTAATGAGAAAAAGTGATAGTGTACCTGGTTGTTCTTGCCATGATGTGCACTTTTACAGGAGTTGTCTTGAGAGGCGTGGTAGTGACGTTCATATCGGGTTGACTTGTCACACTTGATGTTTTATATGACGTCCAGATCAGCTCTTATTCTCCTATAACTCAGTGATAGTAATCTCGGGTGCTGGAGTCTGTCTCCTTATGATTTGCTCTTATAACCCACTAGGTACTTGTATCAATAGATTTATATCTCTTTCGAAGAGCGACGGCAGAACAACATTGTGTACTTCATAGTGGAGCAGTGAAGATATTTTAAGAAAAAACAACGAACGACGCTGCAGCAAGAGCGGATTTTCATAGAGAATGTAACTAAATCATGTCCTATAGATCAGAAGTTTCATAACATGTTGTTTCGAGCCAATTATATCTAGTAAGTCGTCTGCAATTAATTCGAAACAGGAGTAGACGGTAGATTGTTTCTTGTGAAAGTCCTGATATTCGGACATTTGCATGTTCGAGGAATAATATATGAACCAGTGTCTTATGGTCCTAACAGGTTGTCTAGATTTTATGTTATATGAGTAGATTGAACGCAAAGGACTTGCCTTTCCTGATGTTATTTTATCCAGTGCATTCCTTCGTTTGCACTTTTACCAGTTTTCCTATTACTTTCAACAGTACTGAGGGCAGTGGGGCTGGTCTGTAGCAGGCTTGATCTTTTCTATCTATCCCTTTGATAACTACACAGCATCTTCGATTCGAGTGTAATATATTCTATTATTCGTTTATTCACCAAGCAAGCTACATCTCAGATCTCTTAAGGCATAGACTTATTCAGTTTATGGATCGTAACTTCTATTTTAAAAAATTGCAAAATGATTCACCGTAAGGTATATGTTCTCCCTCCACTAGGATACTTCATGAACAATTTTAGTTGCATGTGCTTCCTGGACCGACAGAAGATTGAAATGTGATTTCTACACGACTTCTTACGCCTTATCTCATTTATACAGATAAACTCGAAGCTAAGAAACTGGATTCCCAAAGGCACAGACGAATTATGCCAAACGTTACCTTTTATTTCATTATTGTATATAATGAATTTAAAACACAGCGTAGTACCATAAAAATTGCCACAAACAGTAGTATTAACAGTCGGAATGGGAAATTCGGATCAAAGATATCGGGTACAATAGGTCAGTCGAAGTCATCGCCCTCTGCTACACTCTACGCGAGCCTCTCTAATAGACAATCAAAAAAGCATCTGATCAAGTCAAACGCTCATTAAGTTCATATTTTATCTAAACTGCTCGATTGATCAATTGAAGTTTCCAAAATGCTCGATGCAACTTAGTGAGGTCAAGCTACATGTAGCGATGGGCCACCCAACACACAACCTTGTGAAAAAATAACCGATTGTCACCTTCGACTATCATACGTCAAGATGAAATTTGGAATAAATTTGCGCTCGCAAAACGAAAGAAAAGCAATCGACTTTCATATCCATATGAAGTCGATTTCTACGTTCTTGAACGACGGCATATTTGAAGTTCTTGTGGTCTATTGTTTGAGTACGGACTAGCATGATTTTAAGGTTCTCGTATGTTCACGTACACTTGTATTTTCAGGCCGTGGTACTTGACTGCAAGTTTTCAGTTCCTTAGAACAAAAAGATAAACTGCCGGAACATTTTTATGCTGACGGACTCGCAAATAGAGTGTGCTTTATTAGCTACGATCAACTAGCATTACGTGAATAATTTCTAGAAGTTGTTGATATGGATTCTGCTCACAAGACCATCAAAAAGACGTGAGAATATTGTCTACCAACATGTTTCACTAGAGATAGCGAATGTTGATGTTCGCACTGTTAGTTATTTCTACAACTAACCAACCAAATCGTTGCTTAAACGCTCATCACGACAACTGGCGTGATGTGTCTGTAGACTATCCCTGTAACGTGTGTTCTACTAGTTGGAAGACACTATTATCCTATCATATTAGTGTGACTGCAACTCATATCTTTTATTCATTCTGATAAGGCACACAATACTGGTCGGTATGTTGTGCGCTTCGCTTTTTGACGAATATTCCTTCAATTAGTGTATTAATAGAACTGTCTTTCTGTTTTTGCCTTTGAAAACAGATAATGTTTAAAGCCAAGTTATCTTTGTTCTGACTGTAGCTTTCACATAAATTCTATGTAGTCAGTATATTGCTTATACTTCACGTAGAATATCTGTAGGACAAATTAAATCACACAAATTTTCTATCGGTAACTCTCCAGAAATTCATACATCGAGTTCTGTTAAGTGTTTACGGTGAATCGTAAAACTGACCAGATTCCTGAATTGTCTTCCCAGTATTCAGAAACTTGTACTGATGACCAGTTTGGAGCAAACATCTACCGAGCGGATCCGCTGTTATAGTTAAAATTAGTCAAAGCACGCTAAGCTCAGACAGAAGAAGAAATTGAGTTGGGAAAGTCACGTTTAGGGCGAAGAGAAAATCATAGTCAAGTTGTGGCTGACAAGATGGTGTCGTACGAGTCTACGTCCATCTCACATACAGTCGGTTTTCTTCATGAGATGGACTTGAAATCAATTATATCTAAAGCTTTGGGCCTACTAAAAAGATAGATCATAAGGGTTGACGACAATTCTATGGATTATTATAGTTTCATCCAAAATTTCGAAAACTGTTTCGATGAATGTGTAAGAAGTTGATTTACGTTGAACTGTTGTGATGGTGAAGCCAGGGCTACTATTGTTGATTGTGCATTTCTCGAACCAGAAGGCTATGGTAAGGCGATAGATCTTCATGAGGAATCATTCGGTCAGAAGCACATCACAACCCATGAAATTATTGATAAGATGCTAAAACTCCCTGGTATTAAGGGTACTACTCCATATAATTTCTGATGGCCATCTCGTGAAGTTCAGATTTTTGAGCTAACGCTCAAACAGACGAGCGATCTATCCGATCTGTATATTACAAAGGCTGTCGTGAATAACCGCTTTTTACGAACATTTCCATTATAATTCTTAACAGTATTGACAAACATGAACGGTTATTGTCACTGTCTAATAGTGCTAACTGAATAATAGTTCCGAAAAGCTTTTCTAAACAACATCTTTTCCATACCAGATAACCAGTTTTAGTTGAGTTTGTTAATGTACTTTACAGAAAAATGCTCTTTAAAATGAATGAAATTACAAAAACTTGCAAGTAAAGCACGCTCAAGTCCAACCTTAGTGCATAGTTTATCACTTTTAAATGATTAGAAAATATCCATATTAACTCGCGTGACAAATAACATTTGACGTTTGTTAAGTTGTCAAAGGCGATACTGAACATACGTGGGAACTCGCTTAACAACGACAATAAAATTATTCCATATTTGGTTGGCTTGAAAGAAAAGATTAAAGCTGATATAAAAATCTCAAAAATGAAGTATTTTAAAATAGACTACAATTACTTACCATAATATGCTAACAGAGAGTATTCGAATTATTGTGCTAATTAGGATTCCCTAAGTAATGTAATTTGAGGTAGGTAGAACTGGGTAAGCACAAATGAACGCATTGTATTTGGAATTCGTAATCAGCGCACAATCAAGTAAAAAGGTATTGTTAGTTCGTACAAATACCACACATAACATATGAGCTGACACTATTTGAAATGCGCGGAAGTCAAAATATGGCGAATTTTCATCATTGAGATGAGAAATATTGATTCGGTGATGCACACAATTTCATATTACACGCGCACGAAAACAGCAGAAATCACTTTTCCACCGTGCCTATGCAATAGCCGAGAAGTGCAATCAACCCATTTTTCTCTCGCTTATGTACACATTTCCTAGTAACCATTTTGTATTAAAAGCGGGGACTCATTTCTAGAATAACGTATTTCCAATGGATATGCAACTATTTTATTTCGGTCCTGAAATGCCAATGAGATCTCAATGCCTTTGACAAAGACAGCCTTCATATTGACAAGTGCAAACGAAATAGCTGTTTAATTCTGGTGGTCAAGTGATAGAATGTAATCCTAACGATCACCAGGTTACTTGCTTAAGCGGGACCTTTAAACCATAGTAAAATTTTATCCAGTCGTTACCACTGTATTCCACATGATGAAGAACATTTGCACGAATTGTCTTTTCCGTATCTAAACAATCCGAGCTCCCGATTTTGGGAAGGCCGCTATAGTAAACTTTGAGGAATGGCACTAAAACCCCAAAATTCACCAAAGTTCCCCTTTAACCTTGGTCAAGATCATTTGACTTTGGGGATTTCCTCAAATGTTGGTGAAGGTCACTCCACTTCGGGAGTTTCTCCAAACTTGGGAGCTCGGGAAAAATACTAGTAAGGTTAATTTGTCATTAGTTATTCTACGAATGAAATATAGATAATCACTGTGAAATTCAATGATAGGTGAATATTGGTATAATAAGAACCTGTTGTTGGAATTTGAAGCGAGAAATAAATCCCTCAAACTAAATAGTATTCGATATTGACACTAACCTCATTAGTTGTAATGGACACGCTTCTACCAGGTGTTAGGTCAAGCATCCATGCGGGTTCACATTTGGTTATGTCGTTTCGTACATCTTTCACAATAGATAATCAGCTTAGATCACATGCTTCGCAACGCATCGATAGAAGATAGAATATCACAGAGCCCAAAACACTGCAGCATGTTCCATGCTATGATCAATATATGTGGTGGATGATTGTCCATAAATGTCAGGCTTTGTTATCAAATGCAGAACGAAAAACAGGATGAAAAAGGTAATTCGTCTACGCAACTCATTGATTTAGTTATTAGAACCACAAAAATTAAACGTTAAGTTTTTAGAGAGAATACCGAAGGCTAAGTTTGGTTCATACGTGGTGACCTAGCATTCAGTTGGGGAAAACCAACTTGTTTAGTGTAAAATTACAGAGTACTTTCTTAAAATATGAGAACCATACATAAGTACATGATTTGCACATCTTCTATCCGTTGTCCTTTAGATGCTTTTTGATTCTTCGGATTCCGTTGTTATTACAATAATTTCCTGTTCTTCTTAATTGGATCTTCTCAATATTCTGCTGACATGCATTCCACTTTCGACTCGTGTTATATACTACTTATATCTATCAACATAAGTAGAATACACCACAAACATATATGTTTATTTGTTTATATAAGTGAAAACATTACATTCTGACCATCAACTTCAATTTAAAAAAGGTCTAAGAACTATGTTTTACGATTAACAACGAAATTCAGTTTAATTCAAATAATGTTTCACACTGTTTTCATGCAAGCTAGGATTTGATGTGGAAAAGACACAATACTGATTGATTTTCCTCATTTAATCATATATTTCGAACGAAATAGCAATTCATTTGGTGCTCCTATCGTAGAAAATGAACGTCGTCACAGATATATGATGTTAGTTTTACTATTCAGATTATTTCATATCGTATAAATTGTTTGATCCGGTAATAGATGTGACAAATTATTGAATCACATAAACTTAAGTTCCACCTTTGTTTAATTCATAGTATTAAGTGTCTAAAATAAAAGAGAGTAGAATCTTTTTTCTGGACAAACAAATTTAGATGAAATACACCTAAAATTAAGAAAGAATATTGGAAAAAAAAACGAACAAAACAGAGCAGACGACACTATCTCTGATAAAATATTATTTTAATGGTTAGAATGTAGTTCATACTGGTTGTAGTTTTACAAACTATATACCCCCTTCCGTCATGAGAGTGACAGATTTACATATATATATATATATATATATATATATATATATATATATATATATATATATATATATATATATATATATATATCGTTCAATTAATTAATGTGAAACGAATAAACTGGTTATTTTCTAAAAAATAAAGTACAACAAATTATCTTTCTTTAAAAAGTAAATACATTCTATAAGGATAATTTGTTTAAAGCTGTAAAGATGAAACTTCCAACATTCAAAACATTGAATATTGAAGAGATCAAAAAAAAGAACAATAAGAAACTTTTAGTGAAGATTACAGGCTATGTAAACAAATTATGTAATTGATAAGCAATTTCATCTTCATTCTGTGAACAAGGTATCTATAAAATTTTGAATCAAAACAACAACAACAAAAAAGCGTTAATTACATATATTGCAGTAGTTGAAAAGAAGTTAACAAAGGAAAAGACAAAACCTTACAGAATGTGTACTCATGCAAGAGTATTAACTTAGAAAGCTTTTGTCATTAAGTTGACTTGTTTTGAATTTATACATTAAAGTTGAACTTTTGTTAGAAATTTATTGAAAAGCAAAAACCATTGGGTATCTGTTTTATCTAAATATACAACTTACAAACAGTGTTTATATATGACTTCAACAAGTGCAAAACTCAGAATTTTTGAATTGATCTGTTAATGTTGTTATTACAACTTTTATGATTGTGACGTTACATACTTCACTATTATTGTAACACTTGTAATTGAATAAAGTTTATACTTATTTTTATTAAATACTATACTATTAAAAGTATCAAATGTACCATTGTGTTACATGCTTCAGTGTTCCTACTCACAAAGTTTCTTCTTCTGTCTTCTTAGTTGTGTGAACTTATCACTGTTAAAAGTATTGTTGTGTACTATATATCATTGTATCTGCTAGCTGTAGACTATTGAGGATGGTATATCCCCAAAATTCATATTTGTAATTTTATCATATCGATTAACTTATCAATTAAATATTTGAATGCCTGTCGATTGATGAACTTAATTAGTCATGTTTAAAAACATTTTACTATGACAATATCGATTATATATATTTGTGTATATACGTTTTAAATTGTGTTTGAGTGCTTGCTCGCTCGTTTTCTGGCTGTTTGCAGAATATATTTTTCATACCAAGCCTAGACTTCTTCTTCTAGATAGCGGGGCTGGGACGCATCAATAGCTAGATTACTGGTCTTTGGTCACTGAGTCTTGTTCTCGTTCGCAGATTAAGTGAACTCATGAAGCTTCAAACCTAACATAGACCTAATTGTTCATTAAATCTATCACTCATTCATTTATATTGAGACTTCAGACTATATGAATAATAACGTTGACCATATTCACCGTTCTACATAGAATGAAAATAATGTATCAATAACACGAATCAACAATTTGATAGCTTGATAATGAACCTAGAGTAAAGCCCCATTTTATTAAGGAAATATATATTTATTTATAAGTGGATGTGTATACTGTACTTACGCTCTAATTATGATAAAAGTATAAATGGCATAAAAGTTTATATATATATATTTGAAGATCCAAATGGACTGATACTTCAATTATCAATTGATTCTAGTTACTATGGTAACTTTAATAAATAAACAAAACATTTGTTTGAATACAATTATTTATTCCAAAAAAAGCAAACATGAAACATGTCACACCCATGGAAGTCAAATAAATTACAATCTATATATATATATATATATATAAAACTGAATTTTAATTATAAGAAAAAGTTCGAAAAACCGATTTTATAGTAAACAAATTATATTGAGGGCGGAGGTAGTATTCAATACTAAAAATAGTAAAATTTAATTAAATAGTTGAGAGAAAAAAACTAACCGATAATGTTGAAACAAAATGATACATCTCATCAGTATTATGTTGTCTATATCCTTGATAATACCATTGAATGTAAGTATACTTTATATGGTCGCGACAGTGTAAATAAGGTGTATAACACATGAAACTTGTCTAAGCACAGATTATTTAATTTGAATAGAGAATTCTCTTACTATTGTTGATATATATCCAGTTACAATAATTAGATTTGTATAGACAAAAAGAGTTATTGATGTAGTATCCATTTAGTTAATTATCTAGGATTTAATACATGGAGTTGAGGCTTGATGTTTAGAGAACTTCACGTTCCGGCAATACATTAGTGGTTCGAATCCTAATTGCTATATCCCGACAAAGAGCAAATGAATGATGACTGCTAGGAATTATTTATGGACTATTACTACATGTATTCCTAATGGACAACTATTAAGTAACTATATTATATGTGTATTCATATTTCTTTTATTATAAGCTTCCATTTGACCTATTGGCTAGTGGAATACGATTTACCATTCTTAATTTATTCCCAACTTTTCCGTTACGGTACCTTACACTGACAGCCATTTTTGGCTAGATCATGTATAATAATTATTTTTACATTTTATGGTGTTATACGATTCATACAGTGGACTCAATGGGCAGGGCTAAGCAAGGAGCTACTATATCGAGGACCATTAAGAATTCATAGTTGACTCATGGTTGACATGTCATTGGTTTAACACACGAACAGGGTAATTTAGTCAGTGTTCTGATTGGCGATTATGTCACGTGATAATTCACATGACCATCAGTTATAGCTCTACTTCACTTACTTTTGTGCAGTTAAATAGAATTTATAGTTCTCGCACGAGAATTTATGGTTTATTGGCGTGTACATTTACTTCTACTAAACAAATGTGTTACTCAACGAACTTAAATATGTAGATATGAATGATGAAATGTTCATTATGTATATACAATTAGCCAAGTTAAATTGTTCGAAATATACAGTGAAATAAAAGATTACTATAACATTAACTACAAAATTTGAACAAAACATGAAATTATGATAAAATCACTCATCAAAAATAGATAACCAGGCACAAGTGTGTAGTTATCTTACTTTACAAAGACATTACCACATCAGAAGATTAGGTATGAAAAGTACAGCTGAACTACGGATGATTTAAACTACGTTATAGTTGTTGTCAAGTTAATGTTAAGATTTTAATCAGCCGGAAACTCATCATGGTTAAAGAAACTTCCATGAAATGAAGTTAAAATTTTAAAAAGATAAGAAAACGCGACAAAAATCAGCTTACACGATATAATTTTTTTGTAGATTCTAGAAATTCAATTAAACTTTCCTCAACTTTATTCTTATGACATTGTAAATTATCTCCGGAATGGTCATGTTCAGAGAACTTATCTTCTAATAAAACGACCAGTTTACAATTTGAAAACTTTGAAAAAAATCGGTTTTGAAAAACAAAAAGAAACATTTTTTTAGTTTACAACGGATTACTTTCGAATAATAACATCGGTAATAATAATATTAGTACTAGTAGTACAAAAACACTCGGTTATTATCGTTACTTACAGTAAACTACTGACTACTGTAATCCATAAGTTGTGTAGTTAAAGTAGCAAACACCAACTTATATATATATTCCTAGAAGTAGGTATTCACTCAGTATTTAATCTTTTCACACATGTGACCAAACAATAATGTAAATATCGTATAGGGTTGTGGAGATTGTTGAGTTTAGATTGAGATCATAAACCGATCAATGTTAGACCACCATTGGAAACCTTAAAACATTGAACGGCGGTTTTGTCCTAGTATGGGACTTCTCTGAAGTGCGCATGTATATAGTTGATTAGTAGTAGAAGTCAAACAAACTCAAAGTAACAGTATGACCGCAATATTTAGGTTGTATAAGAATTATATGGACTCATAAAAATAGCATCACAGAGAGCCCGTTAACAAGTTGTATAATTATATAATTAACCAAATTCTGAAACTATATCGGAATGAAGATCAGAAATATACTACAAGAATGTATGCATAGTAATTAATAATTTATTCGAAATCTTTTTATTCGTTGGTAGGTACTATCAGAAACTTTTTTAAAAGTCGATTGAAATTTACAGTTATACTAAAATTTCTATAATAATATGATATTAATGACAGCACAGTATTTAGCATTGATTCACTAATTCATCAGTCGGTTTTTCATTTTCATTTAGTACTATGCACCTACTAATCTGAACATTATTCACTCGGTAGTCTCAACTAAAACAACATTTGGTTCTACAGCTTCCTACTCATTATTTCCGACCAGATAACAACAGAATAAACAGTATTAGGCTATGGATTTACTTAGTTTGTCGGCTACAGTATAACTTCTTGAGCAGACTTATGTCAGTAATATGAACTTTAGAAATAATATAGTAACAACAATAATGAGGAAGGTAAAGAAATCAAATCATACTTTAGGATAAAAAGAATAAGTATAATTAATGACACACTGGCCGCCAAATGCCCTATTACGGTCGAGAGTGGGGAGAGTCCACCCTCTCGAAATGCTCTCACATGGCCACGTGTATATAGCCTCTGCCAGGGAAGTCCTACTCACTACCTTCTCGTGGCGGGGGTGTTGTTTACGAAATCGAGAGTACGAAAAGCGAATGTCCGGCGCTTTAACCGGATTCCAAATCAATTGTGTACATGGGTTCCAGTATCCTGAGGGAACAAATGGCGTATGAACCAATATTTCGTCACTGGCTACCATGGAAATGCATCTCCTTACAATGCTCCACTGCCTTGTGGATCAGACCTTCAGGTCGAAGGCTCGAGGAGTGGCCCCCTAAGAAAACCACCTGCTTCGGTTTGGGCACCCGGGCAGTATCACAGCCGTCACACATATCGAATGAGATTTGTGTGGCGCGTATGTAGTTGGTGCCTCCTTGTACCAATATCTATGTGTTAAAATAAATAAATAAACTGGAACTGAAGATCTAGAGAAAGATAAACAGTGAACAGATCTGCTCCATTATGACAGATCATGAAGCATATCACCTATCATCTTCAACCGTTAATGGTAGTTATCTCAAGAACTTCAATTAAGTAATTTGCATCTATTATTATGGCTTGAACCAACAGTTAATGCTATCATAGATTAATTCTATTTTAGTTTTTCCGCCAGTAGTTTTCTTACAGCTTACTCCTACATCAACTAACACCGGTGAATATTTTAATTTTCTAATTTGTTTTTACTCACATTAACTATTACATCTACTACCATTTCATAAATCAATAAATAAACGTAAGCATCATCATTAAAACATGAAATGCTGTATATAAATACGAAAATCTTTAAAAACATCAAAACAACTCAAAATTTCATAACTATGTATTATACTTTCAATGAATCACTATATGCTTCAATTTCTTTCGCTTGAGCTAAATTGTTTGGTATACCATCTATAATATATCCTGCTTTACGTGTTCTACTCATCTCCTCTATAATAATTTGAATTAATTTATCCAAATTGAAAGTATTATCTCCATCGAAATTCATTGGATCTGTTATACTTTTCATTGAAATATAGTTATAATTACATTGTTTTAATATATGCTTACAATACAATCGTCTTATCTCATCACAACTACCTGTAAAAAAAAAAAGAAAATTACATTAGTAATGAATAAAAACAACAAGAAATATAGCAATGGTAAAAAGAAAACTTTTAAGTATACTTATAAATCATTCATTAAAGTTAAACTTCTATTTCAGATGATTACAATATATTCAAAACAATCTGTTTGTTTGAAAACTTATTCACTGATGTAATCCTATCTGATCTTTGATAATAGAAATTAATTCAATTGGAAAACAATATCTATCCATGAATATAAAACTATATGGAGACAAACAACGTTTTTTTTTTAATTCATTCTTTAAAATTGTTAAGAGAATTGAATTGAAAACGATGTAATTAATAATGATCGCTCTTTAAAGTACAAATCATAATTTTGACCACAAATAAGGTCAAGTCTATAAAATTAGATTATTTTAGTAAAGTGAGATTTCCTATTTAAATACTGTCTTTTATCGAATATGAAAACCATACATCAAATACATGATTGACACATCTTCTTTCAACTGTCCTTTACATGCTTCATGGTTCTTCTAATTCTGTTATCACTGCAATCTATCTCTGTTCCTCGTCGTGTTCTCTTCAGTTCAACCTCCTAATGGCAGGCATTTTATTTCCAATTGCTGCTACATATTAATAATATCTCTTTGCATAAGTAGCATAAACCACAGTAGTTAGGTAAAATTCTTGTAAATTCAGTAGTGTGTAAAAATAATTACCAGTGATGAATAATAAAGTAATTAAAAATGAAGGTCAACAGAGGGGTTCCAATATTTAGAAATATCAATTAATAAATGAATGAATAATAGGACGTAGTCATAAAATAAATAGATTGCATGACATCTGTTATGCGGTTGGATGTAATTGATAAGGAACTCTACTTGACCTAGGTTTTGTGTTCGTTTGGGACCAATGCTGACCCTTCTACTGAGCTTTAAAGTCTCGTCACTCAGCTTCACAGTTTGAAACATTATAACCGAGTTATTCACGCTCTAACTGATCTCCAATGGGACTGAGATGTTTACAATTGATTAATCAATGAGTAATGAACAATAAAACGTTTGTCCAATCCACAGTATTTATCAAATTTTATCAATGAAGTTTTAATGGGGTCGCCAGTCTAAGATATTTGGTATCTTGTGTATTGTTTTTGAGATGCAAGATGGTTTGAGGTAGTTGGCAGAAAAATGTCAGCTCAAAAAGCTCAGTAGTAACGCCTCACACTAGAAAGATGGACAATATTGGTCAACACTCAGTGAAGAATCAAGTGTACGGTTAACATATATAAAGAGAAATCATAAACTTTCCGAAAAAAGTCAAATATTAGTAACCGCTGTTTAAGAATAAACAGATTGTTCGAGTTATTGAACAACACATATCGAAAAGAAAATAAATATAACCTCTGATAAAAGGGTGAATAAATTCAACATTTATAATCCATTTTAAGTGTTGGCTACTTTTATAGTTAAGATAGAAAGAGCGGTTTCGCAAATTTGTTATGAGTACTAGTGTCGTGTTTTTTTTAAGATATATGCTGATGACTCCGCTTACATGTAAAAGACATATTTGTACGATATGTACCATAACCTTAGTGGAATTCGGTGAATGATATGAAGGTCATTATTCACGTCCAACTAATTCCTCGTATCAACCAAGCTAAAGAGTATAAGGCGTTCAGTTAACTTTAACTGTTCTTTACTTAGTCAGGTGGGACGATGTCTAGGAATGCAGTTACGAAATTGTTTAACTGTGTGCTCATCTTGACTGTCTCCACGGAAATACTTGAATCAGTAAATCAACATGAATGAACCGGAAAAGGTATGATCACACCAAAATATGGAGAGTCCGATTGTTAGTTAAGCCTTGATAAATACATGCACTTTCATGACTAAGATTACTGCATAAAGAAAACTACTGTTTGAAGACGACGCATTATTAATAATTAATAATAAAGATAACAATAAATAAGTCCACTTATTAAAAATTTGGAGTATATCATCAAGCTAAAATATGTATTCATCATACTATCAAACGATAACACAGTGTTATCTTTTGCAAAACCAAATCAAAATATAAATTATTCAATAACATATAAATTTGTATAATTTACCGATAACAAAAATAAATTTATATTTGTCCAAATAATCGTTTACAGTTTTCTCCGGACTTCCTATTTTGAAAAGACAAATTAAACAGTTGACAAATGGGTATATATATATAACAGCTATCTATAGTTTCCAGGACTTCAATGGTTAACGGAGTAAAGTTAGTTCATGGTGTAAACTATGTAATATATATAATTCATAAAGTACAGGTTTATGAATCTTTATTCTGAGTGACAGTTTAGACGTATACGTTGAAGATATTATAGAGATGTTGAAAATGAAGTAGGTGAGGCAATTCATCAATTTATGAAGATCAGTATTTAAACTATAAAATCACCGTTTCAAACATAATCCATTAGATGACGAATGAGAATATGAAGAAAGGACATAAGTGAAGTATACTTTATTGCTTTAAAACACTAGTAAAAACGATAAGACATGTTTTTCTATTAAATGATAGTATTTTCAAGAATTCCCGAAGACAAACAATGACATTTCAACATTTACAAAATCACAATAACTAACAGTCAATCATGTTATCCTTCATTAAACATATGAGTGCCTGTTTATGGTTGCTTTTTTCATAGTTGAATACTATCAATCGATGGAAAGTGAAATAAATCTCTTTTTATTTTCTTAGTGACATTCTTGTGATGTTTTTATAGAAAACACGACTAATTGTTATGACACCCTCAAGGTCATTGTAGGAGAATGTGACAATAACGCTCTGTATTTTGGATAAATGAGTGCAAACGCGTACATACAATCTCGTCAAACGTCATTCGGATGTTATTGATGAAATATGAGTCAGTCAATTATAAGTAATGCAAAATATGGCACATATGTGCATCGATTCTACTCGCTGCATCATATCAGCATACTGAGATGAAATTATGATGACAAATATCAAAGTAGTAGAGATAGTAACAGTATAAGTGATGGTAGAACTGATGTCACGTCTAGGATTGGCCGCTTCAATACAATATTACCAATAATCAACGTATCATGATATGAAAGAGAAAAGCATGAAACATCAGGTCGACTTTGATATTTAACCTGAGGCGTGTTAGTTTGTTACGAAAAATGTTCTGGTTAAAGTACAAGAGGTATTCGCTATCTTAATATGCAGGTCTGTGTTGAGATGACAATTGTATTACTAAAGTACTTCAAAATCTTAAGTTGGCTGAAGTTAGACGCAATATTTTTAATTCTTACTGTATCATATCCATTACTTTCGGGGTTTTTTTACACACTTAAAGAGTGGATGCATAATGAAGTGAATTTCAACTAAATATTTCATCTCAAACATATGGAGTTTTCTTTCTCTTTCTGCTACGAACATTTTCAGTATACTTACTTACACCTGTAACCTCTCATGGAGAAGCATAGAGCGCCACCAGGATTATGCATTGAACTCTGTCCCGGGCAATTCTTTCAGCTGCTAATCATTCTTCTGATGCCTCCCTCCAAATCCTGACGCAATGTGTAGCACATATCGAAATGTCACAATAAACATTAACTGTTAAAATGACGACTTAATTGAAAAGTACACTAATCTACAGTCCTTATTCACTAAATGAACAAAGAAATAGATGAAAAGTTCCAGATCTAACACACTTACGGAATATTTAAAACACTATGAATAACTTTAACCATTAAGTTTGACAGTGATCTCATACTTTTTTTGTTGCTTAATTTCATTCGTTCTTCATTGAACTACATTTTTTTGAAATTTCAAGTGTCCTTTTTTTATTATCATCGATTAATACTGTTATTTTGATTTTATTAAATTTTTTCTACTGAAGTTTCCTTTTATTGTGTTGATAGAAATGTTATAAATTAAACCAACTTCTATTTGAAACGATTTCTACATTGTTTATGTTAGTGACTGAATAAGTGACCGATTTATTGAATGACTAGCTAACTGATTAACTACATATTGTATATCAATTCATGTTCAAATATAATAAACAATTATATTCTTGAAGAAAAACAAATGATACATTAAACGTAATGTGTTTTTTTTTATTGTTGTTATAAAAGTTCAGTTCATAATCACCTTCTAAATTATCCAATTTCAATTCAATCTGATCTAATGAATTCTGTTTACATTCAGGTGTAATTATTATTTGACTTGATGGAGAAGAATCATTATCTTTTGTTACGCTATCTTCAAAACTAGTTTCAAGTGATTGATCATCTATTATAAAGAATATAGATAGAATAAAATTATTTTTTTTAAAAAACAGTAGTTTTGTGAAACATTCTTAAGTGAAAATACTAATATACATATCTATTCACCGATACAGCTCATGTTTATACATTAACAAAGGAAATTAATTAAAATCAGAAGAGTTTTTGTGGATATTATAGTCATTTCAATGGTTGAGATCATGAGTCAATTGATGCTCCCAGGTAATCCAGATTCAATTGATTCATAATCTCAACTATTGAAATTAATTAAAATTGAACTAATGCAAAGCATTTATAAATCAGGTGAATAATCTTGATAATATTAAGTATGTTATGGTGAATTTTACTATCACCAAGCTATTAGATTGATTTATCTAAATGACAGCATTAACGTTTACCTCAAGTAGAATATTTTGATAAGAACAAAATGTGAATTATAAACTCCACTAACAGTTATTATGTAAATCTATTATTAAACGTAAATTATTCAGAATAACAGATATTTTAAGTAAATTAGTTATGAACCATAACATGTTAGTATTTCTTCAAAGTAATTTTAAATGATTTCAAAACTATTGTTTGGTTTGCTTTACATCCTTATGAGCTTGACTTACAGTAGAAAACATTTTGAAATAAACAATATATGTCATGATTTATTCCAATTACTTGTTGAGACCTTACCGCCGGAGATGATATCCGTGAGATAAGGCGAGGTGTGCATTTTTTAGGGTCGACCTTTGCTAACCCCACCCCTTCTTGTGGGAAGGCAGCATCGCTGTCATGCTGGTCGTCTGAAGGAAACACTTTACTGCTGTCACACCTCTGTACAGTCAACAGTATGACTTCGCCTTCGGACCTAAGGTTTCTTGCTTTTAGTCTTACTGCTTTCCAACTGGTTGTTCCAGCCAGTATAGCTCGGTCGCTTCATCACGAAAGGCAAGCCCGACCACCACATCAAGGCAGAAGCAACGACGGTCGAGTTGACCTGAATAAAGTTTTTATAATTATACAATCGGTAGTAAACTGAAGGTTTTTAGGTAACTTTCATCTTCTTGAAAACACTTATACATCTTAAATGTTTTCATATTATTCATGAAAATTCTCAATCTTTATATGTTGAACATCTAAGAAAACCTTACAATATAAACTTCAGTGTTATTAAAAACAAACAAGTATGACATATATACAGTCAATCAAATTTATTTTGAATTAAACGTAATTACGTGATCGAATTTCGAAAAATGCGCCAAATGAAAATTACACACATACAAACGCACAAGCATACACACAAATGACTTACCATCTATTGTCACACTCTAGACAAACAAAAATAACATTGGAAAATCGAAAGTTTTTTAATTTTATTTTTATAGATTTTATCAACAAATTGAAAAAAAATAATGACGAAGCTAAATGCAGAACGTTTTCATGACCAAATCATTATATACATACAGGTAAAAGGCCAACTTATTTATCAGTATAGTGGTTGTGGAGATTGTTAAGTTTTTGACTGAGATCATGAACCGATTGATGTAAGACCACGACCGAAACCTGGAATCACTGGACGGCCGTTTTGTCCCATTGTGGGACCCCTCAGCAGTGTGCATCCACGATCCCACTCAGGGCCTTCAGTCTTGCGCGCGAACGCTTAACCTACTGAACTACTGAGCCGGCCGGCATCCAACGGTGTTAATGTCTAACCTCAACCAATCAACGAAATTGCGCGACCATCTTCCATTGTACTGAGGTAGATACCTGTTTCTACCCGACACGGATTAGCTCCACTAGTCCCGGCTTCCCATCAGAACTCCGAGGATTTTCTCATGAAGCTAGTCCCTAGTGAGCACATGGTAATTATCAGTATAGTGGTTGTGTTAGTATCTTTATTTGGCCTACCAGCAGTTATTAATTTACAGAAGACTATAAACTATCATCTCATTTATTGTATGAAATTAAACGATTACAAACGATGAAACGATTGTAAAACATAGAAATTTATGAGGAAATAATGAATAAAAGCAAATATATTAGCATTTTAAATATTACTTATATTCAATTAAGCAGACTCAAAAGTTGTAAAATCTTACCGTTAAAAGTTTTCGATTTTCATTTTTTAATAGTTTTGATATGACTGGTATAATTTCTTCAGTTTTTACAATTTTATTATCAGATGTTTCATTGTTTGATTTTTCTTTCTTTTTTTTAAAAGATAGAATATGAAATAAAATGCATAAATTATTTCCCATGATGACACGATATGAGTTTTTCCTTTTATGTATAATGAAAAGACATTTTACACATAATCTTCAAATTTCTTAAAAAACGAAACTTTTTCATCTTTATTTATGATTTATGATTAGTGTGCACAATCAGAACTATTCAGATAAACAGAGAGTTTCCACAAACTAGATTGAATAGTCATCTGGCTTATTAGGAGAAAAAAAAATGTTGACATAACAAAACTATCATTGTACTGATGTTAATTCAGAACACAATAATGATTTGAGAAATGAATAATAGTCATGTCCTCATATTGTGATGTGTGTCCAGAGTAGGATGTATAGCTACGCAGTTTGACACATTGCTCAAATCTTTACATCTTCCTAACATCTCGGATAATCGTCTATTGATGATACAGTATTTTCACGATCATACCTTGTAAACCTAGGCACCATAGTGAATACGTGAGCTTGCAGTAGCCAAGTTTCAAACAGACAAGATTTTGAGACAACCACTCAGAAACATAAAGATTTACTGGAAGCACTATACATAACATGTATATATACCTCCTAGTGAAGTAAGAATCCACTTAAATATTCTTGGCTGTGGCTTAGTAATTCCAATTATTTATTGATTTCCTATCCCGACCGTTGTTGCTACCTTGACGTGATGGTCGGGCTTGCCTATCGTGATGAAGCGACCGAGCTATACTGGCTGGAACAACCAGTTGGAAAGCAGTAAGACTAAAAGCAAAAAACCTTAGGTCCGAAGGCGAAGTCGTACTGTTGACTGTACAGAGGTGTGACAGCAGTAAAGTGTTTCCTTCAGACGACCAGCATGACAGCGATGCTGCCTTCCCACAAGAAGGGGTGGAGTTATCAAAGGTCGACCCTAAAAAATGCACACCTCGCCTTATCCCACGGATATCCGTCTCCGGCGGTAAAGTCTCAACTAGTACGGAGCTAACACAAAAATTACTCATAAAAACGTCGTGTGTGACCGACCCCAAGCAGTTGTCCCTTGAGCGCTGCGGTCACGCTCTCAGATCACGAAGACCGCCTTTAATCCAATTTCCTTTTCAGGTACCTCCAGAACAACCCTTCCACGGTGTGGGCAACCGGAAAGTGATAGCCGACCTCAAACCTCGAACACCACTCAAGACCACATAATAATTTCCTATATGGTGGAAGTTCATGACGGGGGTTATCTTTCTATATAAAGTGAATAAGATGAAATAAACATACTGTGCTTAGAAAGAATTCCATTAATGCAACCAAATTTTTGAAGATAAGACTTTGTTCTTGATCACCAGGAATCTATTAATAACGAAAATAAATCAAGAAAGATTACACTATATATGAAATATTCTTATCTGGTATATAATAATAATACGAAAACAAATGTTTACCTTTATACCATTTTATAAAATTACTGTTGCTTTAACGAGTTGGTAAATTCAGGTAATAAAAGATACATTTTAGTTAACAATATTACACTATATTATACATTGATACACTAAACAACTGTTACAGCTCATCAAAGATCAGTTATTGAGAAATTAGTTGTTAGTGAAACTATTTTGGTAAAAATAAACAGGACCATCATCCACTCTTAGTTCAAGAAATTGTATCGAAGGGGTGAACAATTAAACTCTTCGCCAGCTACTCTCTAGTTCCCCACGGTATTCAACAAACCCAAATAGAAAATGGAAACGAGTACAATAACTCTTAATGATGTTTAAGAGGCTATACATAATTTGAGGTAAGGAAGAGTAGCGAGATCTGATAGATCAACTCCAGAAGTCCTCTAGAAGTGGAACACTTCTAGAAGCTAATTTGACTTAGAAATTATCTAGAGTTCAGAAACTGGACCCAATCCCAGAAGTTTGATTTCAATCGCTGATTGTTCCAGTCTTTAAGAACAAAACTCTAGACGAATAAGTTTTACTAATGTATTAGCTAGCGTGTAAGCCTCTATATTCATCCAACGTTTAGCAGACCTGAGAAAATCATGCTGACTTCACATTTGAACGTAGATAAATATATTATATGTTCATCCTTCGTTAGGTTCTGAATCATAAACATAATTACTGACTTCCGATGATAATGATACTTCTAGACTTGAAAATAACATCTAGCTTTCTTAACCAAGAGTTTTTGTGGCAATGTTTGACAATCAGAGAGCTCATTACTCATAAACTAATGGTCAAGTCAAAGCTTGTGGTAAATTGTCTTCTAGCTTGCTAACTAAAGTGATATCTATCAATTCTGACCATTACTCCCACTTTTATTTAATTTCGTCATAGATGTTCTTCGAAAAATCATGGTTCTTTATTTAACTCTTCATGGTTTGATCTCATATCATGAGAAACTCAGAATACGCAGACGATATGATCTGGTCTATTAAAAGATTTGTATACTCATATGGTACTTGTCACAGACTTTTAATTCTAAAATCTCTTTGTTTTCGAGATTCACTCAGTGGTATATCCTTTCTTTTTACCTTGGATTGTTAATAGTTAAACAAAAGTTCATCTGTTGAATTGAAATTTCTTGTAATCGTTGAATCAGTATCGAGGTTTTCATTTTATAAATTATCAAAAATCAAAAACTGTCTGGCTTAATATTGTTTATAGTTAAATATAAAACGAAATAATGAAGCTGATATGACCGATTGAATTAATAATCTTATAATAAGTGGATTATTTACAGTTGATTAATTAACAGATAGTAATGAATGTCATAAATATCAAGTTGGTGCCGATATAATTCTATCGACAAAGTTCAAATGTAGTCATTAGTCCAGGTGACTCGACATTGCATACAACATGTTGAAATGTAAATTGATTGATGAAAATGGTCGACAGAAAACCCTGTACTTAGATTTCGTACTATTTGGCACTTGTCAGCAAGATGTACCTGTAATCTTTAGGAAACTAGCGTTTTCTGGCGGATATGTCTCATTTCTCAAGGGGATCAGTCGCAGCCCGGATGGTTCAGTGGCAATATATCTGACTGTGAAAATGGGTGACACAGGATCGAGTTCGCCAAGAAGCATCAATCTCCTCAGGTTAACAGATACACCTTGTTAACGAGTATCAAGTAACATGAAAGTTTCAGGGTTTCCTACCCACTACATCCAACCACCACTTAACAGTAAATAGATGATATTTAACAATAAATAACTTTTCTTCGTCCTGTAGAAATATTACATTGATAAGACCCAGATATGACTGATAACAGTTCGATGTTAATATTTGATAAATATTTTGGTAACTAACTTCTAATCTATAATAAATAAATAATTTACAATAATTAGTCTTACAAACTGATAATAATGGTTTATACTACGTTACAGGATAAATTGAATATTGTCTGTAATCAAGAAGAATTACTTCATCAGATCACACTATAAACTACCGGTTTGTGTCATAAAACATGTATTCAAATAATAGATTGCATTTTCATTTTTTTAAGCTTCAATTGTAAACAAGAAACCAAATGAACCTAAAGAGTTTTAAAAAAGTATTATCAGCATAAATTTTCAATAAGTATTTAACAAGGAGTTAGTTAACTAACTAGACTTACTGTTACTAATTTACCTCGTTCATCATAATATCTTATAACAGGTAATGTACAATGTTTAAAGAATGATATACGTTGTAATACAATAGCATCTTCATCTTCAGCACGTTTTAAACGTTCATATCGTTGATGTAATCGATCAATTAATGTTGTCTCTTCACAGTCTAATAAAATGACTAAATCTACGCCACCAATCTTTAATAGAAAGCAAAATATAAACAATAAGTGAGGTTAATACTAAAAAAAAGAGATAGTTTAGACATATCTAAAGAAGAAGCATTGTGAAAATAAGACTGTCTCCATTTAGCATCATTCAGCTATGTACAATGTAGAAACTGGTACGGTTGTGCATTGTTTCTATCTGTAAAAACAGATGAGTTAATGAAACGATTTGTAGGGCAGTAGAATTAGTCATATTATCAGCAGCAGTGGAAAAGATTAGAATAAATGAACTTGTGGGATAGAAAATTTAAAGGATCATTTTAGAACTAAGCAATGAAGGGAAGACAAACTGGGAATGTACCTGCTCCGTAGTTATGGATTCTGAGAGAAGTCATTCAACATTTTTAACAATTGGATATGATAAGCGTGAAGACCCCAACCAGGTAATTCGTATCTATCAACATCTCTCAGTTCAACCATCAATGACTTAATTCCTAATAATATCTTTATATCTGCTGAACAAGTCAGCAGTTAATTAGACTCATTATCTCAGTGAACAGTTTGTTGTCATTTGAAACGAGAGGCATTGCATTCGAGTCTCAATATAAATAAGAACACTGAGATGTAAGTAGATCCTTCTGATGTTTTGTGTTCCACAACTGGAGACTCATATCCAAGATTAATCACACCTTCATTTGACTGAATTTACATTTCCCCAATGTATATCTTACGATTGATGAGCATAACAATAGACCACTAATTGTCTGAAGTTAACATCTCAACCCATTCTATTACGAGACTAAGTTCTTTAGTTTGGTTTTAAGTGAGGTCATACATGCACACTGTTAAAGAATCTTAAGACGAGCCGAAGGTGTAAAGTCTAAATTCTTCTTAAATCCCCTATTAATAAGAATATTTTCTAATAATAGAATGACTGTCAGACTATTAGTAAGTGAAAATAATTTTGTTACATACCGACTTGTTAAACTATCACTTTTTTGTCATTTTAGATAAATGAGACTTTTATATCGATTATCCTGATAAATTGTCAATCAGTTGAAAACAATCTATTTTGTCTCAAACATATCTGTATGTTTTCATATCATGCTATCACAATTTTAATTAACTTCATAACAAAAGTTTTGGTTGCTAATTAAGATCAAAGATGCTGAGTGATTCATCGTATTACATGAAAAAAACTGCATAATTGTGTATGTGTGGTTTACCTAAACTCTTCAACCTGTTTACAAGTACTTGAGATGAGGTTTATTTAACTCGTTTTATATGTGAACTTCACACTTTCATACATTTTAGTCTGAAGACATGTCATCTTTATTAAAAACTTCAACTGATATCTTAATTAGGAAGATTGATAATATCAATAACATTCGATAATCTCCACAAACCTTTATGTAAATAACTACCATGTGGCCTCAAGTGTGAATAAGTTCGAGAGTCCATTCTGTAATTGTAGTGAGAAGTAAACAGTGGAGTTCAAAAGGTGTGGGGTGCAAAGTGGTTTCTCATCAACGACAATTATATATGGTGGAACAATATTGTAGATTGATTAAACATGCATTATACTGGATTTTGGTCAACTGGTGAATAGATTAGACGTTCTTACGCGGAGCGACATCCCTAGGGTTCAATCCTCATTGATGCCAATCTTAGGTGCACATTGACGAAGAGTCTAATACTAAGATGAAGTATTTGTTTAGTGCTTCTTGGTTTTCAGTGAATGTCTGAGGTTGACCCATAAAACCAGTAAAAACTAGCACGTTTTTGTGATCGTTAATTTGATGCTAGTAAACCTACTGTTGATATGAGAGGCAACTTAACGTGAGTAGATCAATCGGAGAGCATAGTATACACAACAACACTTCAAAAATGATAATGGCGTACCAGTAATAAGACAGGAAACTAGAATTTATCAAAGATCTTATACATTTGAAGAAGAAATCATGAAATTAGTAAATATCATTGTAAATCTCATAGTCTAAAATTCTAAGAGAAAATTCGATCAATAAGAATAGAAGTTAATTATATATGGAGATTTATAATAGATAATACAGTTTACTTGGCTCACAAAAGGTAAAAATCAAAAAAAAGGTTATGTTTGTTATGCATCGATAAGCATAATGAGTGGTAACTTTTGGGATTCATTTATGGACCAATACTATGCGTATATTTTTATCGTATAATGGTTAAATAACTAAACCATTCATATTCGTGACCCTCTTATTATGAGCTTTATTTTGATCTGTGAACTATTATTCTAAAATTAAACATTCTTGAATTATACCCTGTCTATTAATCACCACCTACCACATTCACAGCTACATTTGGCCAAATATTGTACAAATGTTGTTTCCTATTTTATTGGTACGATATGGTCTGTCTGGTTGGTAATATAAAACCCAGTATGTTTGAAATAAATGATTCATATCACAGAGGCTGTGAATGATGTTCTGGACTTAACTGGATGGGTCAGGCAGGAAGAAGGACAGATCAGAACTCTAGACTGCTCCTACGGGTTTTACGCGTCATTGGTCCGATCGATAATTTACTGCTCTCTAATTGCCGGTATCGTTACGTTAAACATTAACAGGGCACTCAGGCCACAAGTTATAAAAACGTTTATGTCAGATTATTCACTTTTGTACATAACGGATGTACAATAATTTTTTTGATTTACTTTCACTAACTGATGTCCTTCAATATCATAAAGGTATTATGAATGAAGAGTAATAAAACAGTAAATCTGATAATTGCTAATATCCATTTCAACAATCAATTCTAATTTTAACAATTCCACAGATATTTGAGCTGCTGACAGGTACTGGATGAGTTATATGTTCTCTTACCCTTATTCTTACCGTGATTATTGTTGGCTTTTGGTGTGGAAATATATTTAAGTTCTAGTCAGGCTTATCTATAGGATCAATTAAAAATTAATGTCTCTAAATCTCTTAATGATCCTCATTGTTATTAAATTTCAACTGATAGAAATTGTTCATCAGTGTTATAATCCTGGATCAGAGCAGAGAATTATAGTAACTTATAGGCCTTTAAATTCTTTGTGAAAAGAATAATGAGTCAATTCTGACTTTCATCTGCATAAAAAAGTGATAAAGAATCTGGTGCAGTTGCCATGTACAAGTTCAACTCGAACAACCTAGTATTTAAATGAAACTTAAATTAGCGGTCACTAGGACTTCTCATGTAGCTCAGCTCATCATTGGTGAAAAGTCAGGGTCCATGTTTCCCCAAAAATGCAAACAACATGCAGAGGATTAGATAACATCCCGATGTCTGTACTGTGATAGTCATATAAAAGTGATTGAATATACACCTAAATCGATACCATGATAAACGAATTTCAATCCTTCAATAAGGATACATAATAAACAATTATCTTCTTACATTGTTGAACATTTAATTGTAAATGATCTTAGAGATCACATCAAATCAACCTATGTGATGTTGTATAAAAGTGCCGTTGGGGGAATAATAAGGTTTATTAAAGATTTAACCAAATGAAAACTGTAACCTTCTTTATGTTCCTAGAAATAGTTTTCTATTACATTTTACCTACCCTGGTAATATTGATTCTGAATTTAATATCCAAAATGGTATCATCTGTGTTTTCATCGATACCTTTATTGTTTATATATCCCTGTTTGTCTACTTTGTATTTAGATAAATATCTTAACAAAATAATTTGGGGTTCAACAGTTTGGAATGTATATCCCACTAATATACATCACATAGTCCCGATAAATTTCGTTTTACAATTCCACTATTATAATTTATCGAAAAGATTAACTGTTTCAGAGTATTCAACTAATAATTTGAGTTTATTAATATAACTTATTCAATAAATAATTCGTCGAAACTTAAAAAGGAAAATGAAGTTACTTACACATTGATTAAATGTATTTAGTTGACCTTCATGACATGGGAATCCTTCAATGATAACAGCTCTATTATTTTCGGCCAAATTACTGGACTCTAGACGGATTACTTCAGATTGCACGTCCTTTCATGTAAAAAAAAAATGTGATAAGCAAATAACTCACAAGTGCGCTACCCTGAGATATCAGGAAACCAGTAAAATACACTGGCTGTTAGGACAAACAAGGTCTTTCTAAAAAGATGCAAAATGTATAAGGTAATAATCCACACTGTTAAAAACGAACAGATATGAGGAAAAAATCATATTGTTTTACAACAGCATTTAGAATGACGCAGACGCTCTCATCTTCAGATTGTTCTCGTGTTTTCCTGAGATTCTACAACCCCATAAACTTCAAACACAGCGATAGGTCCGTAAAACATTCGGAGACTTGGACGTACATATAAGTAATTTATACATGATTAAACAAGTGGTTGTGTTTAGGAACATGAACAATTACGTGGTAGATTCGAACGCCAGCCCATATATACTTTATTTCGAGGTAACCGGCTATCGCAATAAAAATACCACTCAATGCTCAGTACAAAAGAATTCGACCTTTATGAAATATATAAATCATATATTCGATACATTATTTTCACATCTTCCTTCATCTGTCCCTTGCATACTTCATGATCATCGCAGATACGTTGTTATTCTAATTTCCCTGTTTGCTTCTCCTTCTCTTTAATTCAATGTTCTGCTGGCATGCATCCGACTTCCGATTGCTGCTACATACTACTTAATTCTGTTAGCATACATAGAGTACACCATACAAAGTGAAATTACTCACTAGCTATTCATTTTGAATTTGAAACTCTTCTCCACGTATTAGATAGTGTTCACATTTTTTGGATATTTGCAACTTTACTAAAGACCGATCAAATGGATTAAAAATCTAATAGTATGCAAAATTTTGAAGTAATAATAGTTCATAAACGTTTCCTGATTTTTGAGTGGTTGGTCGTCAACCCCCTAATGTCGATGTGTGACAGAAATACCCTGATTTTACACAAAACCGTTAAAATAGAAAATTGTAATATGTAATTAACAAAAACGGAACGCATCAAAAACCTACCCAGTATTCTGGAATGAGTCTATCCTAAATTTCAAAAAATAATCAAATAAGATTTTTAGAATATGATAAACATTTTTTTGGAATGATAAGAATCATTTATATGCAAGCAGAGTAAACAAACAAAAATCAATTTTTCAGTTACATTCCGGAGTTCATTTACAGTCAATCCATCTAGCTACAGATGACAGACACATTTATATTTCTCAGTAGTTGTTTGGTCAAATATATTTAATAATAAGTTTCTTCGAAACATTTTTCCAGTTTGTTGTAAGATTACTGAATAAGCGGAATCGGAAATTGAATTAAGAGTTTTGGTTGGTAAAGGTAAATTATTAAGTCATTTTATGAAACTCGGCTGACTAAATTGAATTATTCCTAGGCAATTATATCTAACCATAACAGGATGTAGTTTTGCATTAAATATGTCTTAACGAACGATTTAAACAATGCTATGGTGAGAGAAAGTTTTTGGAAACGAGTAACATTGAAGCCATTGTATATACTTGGTTTCAAAATTCCCTGAATTGATAAGAAATACTTCGGTTTAAAGTAAGGAGTGCTCTTTATTAGACAACTAATAAGTACTGGTCTCGAATGAGCCCTTCTGAGGAGTCTTACATTAAGACAAAATAGTCTCTCAGTGTTTTCAGGTTTTCTATGGTTTTTTGAATTACATGGATTCGTGATTCTAATAAAATGGAAATATATATTGTAGTTGCAAAGTTTTTCGTAAATATTTACGGATAAACATGAGCTGCAGTTAATCACTACTTAAAAAAACACTTTATAGATATTTTTGAATATTCACATGTTAAATCTACATTCACCAGCATTTTCATTACAGTTTTACTGAAAACTTTTTATTGTAATCCAATATATGGTAATTAATTAACCGAGTATTCTTGTTATTATTAATATTATTATCTAGATTACATTACACACATACTTTATTCGACGGTGGATCACTAGAATGTACTCGACGTGCTATTACATCCCAATCTTTAGTATCATTTTCATTGATAAAATCCAAAACATTTTTCCTCAAAAAGTCCGTAACATTGAAATATGCTAAACCAGGAAATTTTTTACATAAACTTAATGCTTGTTCTGTTCGTCCAGAGCCTGGACCACCTGAAACAAAAAAAATTGAAAATGTACAATCGGACTTTTATATAGAATACTTTTTTGCTAAACCTTTCACGTTTTACAACACTCGCGAAGTAGTAATGAGACTACAATAACCCTTACTAACTAATGAATCATATTTTGTGACACTTACAGTTTAAAAAATTATTGAAACACAAACGGGTATACAAAAGTTAACAGTGAAAAGTTATTGAATTATCTTGACAAATAAACTTGACATCAATGTTTATGTTTCGCCTTGACAATTCATTGATAAAAAGTACTGATAATGTTACTTTTCTTTTTACCATTATTACAAAGGCTATAAATACTTGATTAAGCAATACTACACTACACTATATTCATTAGTAAGTAAACGTAATGAATTTAGTGCAAAACTAATTTTCTAGTTATTTCGAAAAATATCTGCGCATTACAGAAGTGTCTATCATTTAACACAATGATTGAATGTTATGAATGATTCTAAGAGTTAGTTTTAAAAACATATGATCATAAAACTATTCCTTAAGGATTTACATTGCCAAAAATAATTTGCATCAGAATGAACAAACTCATATTTCATTTAATGCTACATTTGTGGTAATATCAGCTCACCTATACTAAACACACTATTTAACATCAAACCAAAATGTCTGACATATTGTATACAGGTATCATCTTAATATTACTTGTCAAAAGAATCTCATCTTATTTATCCTACAGTAAAACTTCAAAGTTACCATAATATGTATATGATTGATTTGGTCGTGAATCTTTTTAAAAGAATTCTTACATCATAACCACAAATAAACTATAGTACAAAACTATATATATACTAGTAATGAAAACATTCATCGCCTTCTCGATGCCAGTTGATAGAATATTTATTTTATGCATACTTACCTAATAATAAAATTATTGGACAATTATTAATACCATTCATTCGACCATTGTCAGGGAATACTGGCACAATTCTTGGAATACTACTTATACTTGGTCTGCTTTCATACCCCTTCATTCTATGATTTACTGGGGCAAGCACATTATTAGGCGAAGCATTTGAAATAGGATGTACTTCTGATTCTGTATATAGTAAATCATAAAAATCACCCATGAAAGACATATATGAAATATATATATGAGATCTCTTTGGAAAATATGGAATGTAGATTCACGAATGCTTCTGGTTTCAACATTTGAAACACGACATCAAAACACTGTACTAAAATTTCTATAAAAGTTGGATGATAGATAGCACTGGGATACAGGACGATCATTTCGTCCTATTTAGAACTTACTAACTGGATGCGCTTATAGGAGCTAAGGATTGATGCTTACACTTAGACTCGAGCAAAGTACATTTCGTCTCTAACCTCAAAGACTTCATTCATAGTTATAAATTCATAAAAGCTGCAAAGGCTATTTGGACACAACGGTCCAATGGATGACTTATTAGCACTTAAATCTAAACGTACAGGATTCGATTCTCAATATGCAAGTATGTATAACCAGTTGATGAATCTCAAAAAGAATGAAATGTGCATCCTTAATTCTATTGAAAGCCAATATGTAACTCCAGCGTAAACTTTTGACTAAACGGTAAAATCGAGGCAATCTGCTCAAAAAGTATACCTATTAATAGAAAATGATTATCTGAGAGTTGTTCGTATCAACAATAAAAAGTACATACACTTACAAATTCAAGCATTAAGATGTAATCACAACATGAAACAATATTGAATTACTTTAAAACAACCTATTCATTTTAATAATAGTACTGAACATTTTATAATTAAATTATCATTCAATAGAAATTAAGTGAACTCACCAACTAATTTATTAGAAATCATCTGATCAAACAATTCCAGAATTTCCTCTAAAATCTCATCATTATTTAACTCTCCATCAATCTATATAATAATTATCATAATAAGTGATAATAATATTAATGATCATTACTATTATTCACTGTATTAATAAACCTAGAAACTAATTCATGTTAACATTACACATTCATTATTTGAACACTAGCAATTGTAGTTACAAAATGAAATAATCCAATTATAATATATTTATGAATAGAAGAATTGAATGTTCTCATGTTCCATAACTCAATGTGTAAGCCACTAAATTTAGAGAATTTTAGCTACATTTATTTTAATTATTCACCTTATCATATTAATTGATTCGTAAATTGATTCATATAAACAATATAATTGAGTTATTTCAATATTTACAAATTGTTTTAATTCATCAGGGAAGTTTAAATTCATTTACTGTAATTTTAAATGATCTAAATGTTACATAAATTTGGTCTTCTGGAGTTGATCCAGATGGCTTCGGCTATGTAAAGCAGTCGTAATATAGCTCATTGAGGTAGGTATTTTGGAACTTGATATAAAGCAGAGAAAGCTTCACTATCTACCTATCTAGTGAACATCATATCAAAATAGACGAAGCTTTCTCTGTTTTATATCAAGTTCCAAAATATCTACCTCAAAGAGCTAGATTACGACTGCTTTACATAGCTGAAGCCATCTGGATCAACTTTAGAAGACCAAATTTATGTATCCAGAAAAAAAATATATCCAGCCTCTTTGATCTAAATGTCTTGAACTTGACTATTGTCTTTGAAATATTAATTTGAATTTATAACTACAGAATGTGCCGAAAAATTACTGAAAAAAATAAACATTCTTCTTCTATAAATATCTATGATTTTTGCAATACGATGAAAATTTTTAAATGGCACATGATCTCAACTATTGAAATTATTATAATATCAACAAAAGCCCCTTCCGATATTAATCAACATATGCTCACTAGTGACTGGCTTCAATAAGTATTTCCTGGAGTTCTAGTGAGAAACAGTTAACAGTGGAGTTCAATTGGGTCTGTTGTAAGATGGATGGATGCGTTGCTCAATTTCGTGGATTAGTTGAAGTTAGACATTAATACCACTGAATCCCGGCTCAGTGGTTTTTTATGTCCCGATAAGAATAATGAATGGTAGTTTTTGGGATCTAATTGCGAACCAATACTAAACGTATATTTCTATTGTATAGTTATTAAGTAACTAAACTATGCACATTCATACTCCTCTTATTATAAGCTTCATTTTGACCCATAAACTATTATTATATGTTTTACCATTCTTCAGTTATACTCAGTATATTAATTACTACCTTCCACATTCACAGCCACATCTGGCTAATTCTTATACAAGTGTTGTTTCATATTTTATTGGTACGTTGTGGTCGGATTCATTGGTATATAAACAGAGTATGTTTGAAATATAATGATTTATATTGCAGAGGCTGAGACTGGTGTTCTTCAATTAACTGGCTAGGCTAGGCGGAAAGCAGGGCCAATCAGAACTCTAGGCTCCTCGCATGTGTTTTACGCGTCGTTGATCCGATCGATAAGTCACTACTCTCTAATAGGCGGTCACAAGTTATAACAATTGGCGACGGGGATGGAATTCGAACCCACGAGGGGAAACCCCAATGGATTAGCATTAGACTTAACAGGATAATTTTTGGGATATTTTTCTGAATATCCCAACAGGTTTAGAGGTTAAGGGTTCGTGAGCGAGACTGATAGTTCCTGGGTTGGAATTCCGCGAAGCGAGATCATGGATGCATACTGCTGAGAAGTCCCACGATAGGACAAAACGGCCGTCCAGTGCTTCCAAGTTTTCCATGTTGGTCTAGCTTAATTGACTCATGACCTCAACTACTGAAAAAAGTTATTTGAAAGTACTTGTCAGAGTATGTTAAAACTTCACGAAATTTAGCCAAAAACTTATATTCTTGGAGCGATTTCGAATTACGTGTAAATGTTAGTTATAATTCTGTTAACATTATGTATCTTTGAAAATGATGAATAACAGGAAAACAGTATAATTTTTTCTGAAATAACTACACTGGAATTAGGTCAATAGTCAATATATCATCAAACAGGACATGATAATACTAGTGAACCAAAAATGAAAATGCTTTCTTACTGACTAGATTGTAAAATTGTTTGCCATATTCTGAAAATTTAATTGATGTCCTTCACGTACGTCGTTTTATTTGGTTTCAAATGAATATAATATGGATATTAATAAAGTAATTCGTTAACAAGGTAGATGGTCCTACTGATGTATTATAAATCTAGAAGTTACGCAATGGTTATGTGCAAGCAATAACATTTAGAGTTAATTTGTATTTCACCAAATTAAACACAACAAATCATAATCTCAAAATTTACATAGATGGTTACGTATATTGACATATATATAAGAATAAATTGTTCACAGTAAATCCTAAATCACCTTCGTTAGGTGTAGATTAGTTTTGAAAACAGAACTACGATAAATTGCCCGTATGAAATATATATATATATATATATATATATATATATATATATATATATATATATCAATAAAATGTTTAATAATAGACGATATTCAAGACAAATGTCATCATTAAAACTTACAAACTGATTATAAAAGTGACCTAACACCATACTCTCTAAAGTGTGTTTACGCCCTGAAACATTTACTTAGTTACGGCTTAACCCGGTGTTCAATACTCCCTTGGAAACCAGGCTACAGGGAAGTAAAAGATTATGTCAGTCTGCAAAGTTTCAACAGGAATATTTTCCCGATGTCTATACAAGTTAACTGGACAGTTTATTGACGTTATCTGTTCTTCTGTATAGCTATGAAATAGGATTTTTTTAAACGTAGATGTCAGTTGTTTACATCAAAAGCAAGGTTGCCTACTGGACTAAAAACTGTCTGAAAGGAATTTAATGAAAGTCAAATTAAAATTCTTTTTTCTATAAAACTTATCGTACTCATAACACGCAAAAAAGGATTTCACGTTATTTATATAAATGCCATAATAATAGTTGGATAAATAATGGTTTCCAATAGAACTTACAACTCTGAGTTTCTCGTCATCATCAATAATTTTGCATACTTGTAACGTTTGATTTTTGAAAATACTGAGACAACAGTCAATGGAATCTGATTCATTATTATTGCCAACCTCATCTCTATGTGATATTCGTTCACTTAAACGTTGTCTAGAATAATCTTCACTGATATCAAGTAGAATCACACACTTCAATCTATCCATCCCAACCTGATTGATAATATATATAAGAAGACAATGAAAAAAGTCTGAACAATAATATGAACTATAAAAAAATAATACATACGAGTTTCCTCGAGTAAAATCATAATTAAATAGTGAAGCGAAAATGCCTTAGTTTGATTAGTATCGACACCATTAGTGATACGTCTAACAGTTTAGTGTTTAACCTGCCGGTTTACACAGTGATGGATGTCATTCAAGATACTAACGCGAACCAACCAAGTATCGGATAGATGTCTTATTCTAGTTAAAGACCCTTCAGTAATACTCATTCACTATCCAACTTACAGGGCAGAATTCAAACCCTTCAGGTATCATAACCAACATTAAGTCAATAGTTACAAAAAATGCGATAATCAACACTTCCAACATTAATGATTTTGTGATATGGTTTGATCTTCAAGAAATATTTTTTATTAAGTCACTCCAACACTTCCAACTTTGTTGATTTCTCAAGCCAAAGCTTATCTCTGGAACTTCAGAAATTCATACGAAAAATATTGTCTAGTAAGCATATGGTTAATTGATTTGTGTATATCTTCTGTTTTTTTTTGGTGACACTAAAACTAAAGTACAGATTACTCGAACTAGCTGTTTCTCATACTTACCAATTTAACTATACTTATTAAACAAATTGTATGGACTGATTTTCTAAATACTTGTTTGTAAAAATTTTCAAGATTGCTTCAATAGAGTTGTAGATCAAAATTTAAATAGGGATTACTGTCTCCTAATTCGCTGGAATTATTAAATACGTTGAATATCATGTGACCAATGAAGAAGTAGAAACTAACTAATTGGCAAATTTTACATTTCAATTTATATAAAATCCAGTTATATTGCAGAAATCAGTCAGTTGATTAGTCATCTTATAGAATTTGAGATAGGGGTGAAGAAATCAGTAAATGATGGAACTTGAAAGTAGTTCGATTACTTCGAAACCATCAATAACACTCGTCCATCAATAACACAACCATCAATAACACTCAATAACACCATCAATAACACTCAATAACACTCCTCACGCATCAAATTTGTATTAAATACATTTACATTGACTGATTCAAAGTTGTGTTTATCTATTCGTTGTTTCGAATATAATCAATTAGGTTGTAACTCAAAATAAAATATCAGGTTCCTCAGGACTGTAGAAATGTCTTGCTAACGAATATCAACTAACCTGAAGCTTATGTCAATCAACGTTTACAGACGATTACCTTCAACCATCTGATGGATAAAAGAGTTGGTCACTCTAGGCTTATTATTAAATTTAAAAAAATAAGCTCAATTATCTATCTGTGATTGTACTTATTTTAAAGAGATGAGATGTTATAAGTGTACCAGCAGTAACTTACATGCTTTTTAAGATCTAAATATTGTGTTTCTGTTTTCGGATAACCATCTATTACGAAGCCATCCACGTCACTATGTTGATTCAGTTTTAATAAAAGCGTTTCTAAAACTATATCCTGTGAAGAACAAAAAACAGAATAAGCGTCAATATAAAATGAGAAAAAAATATTACATTTGGTAATAATTCCCGATTATTAAGCTTTTGTATAGCTTCATGCCAACGAGATTGTTGTTGGTTCTGTTCATTTATTGCACATGTTTTCAATAAATCCGGTAAATTGACATAAATAAATTTAGGATAATGCATGATCAATTCTTTTAAAAATGTGGATCCGTCTATGCCTGGCCCAGCTAATATGCATATAACCACTGAGTCCTCTTTAATACATAATCTAGGTGAATCGATTTCAGAAATTGCATCATGTTGTGAACTGTCTTTATCAACTTCTAAAATTAGAAATAAAGAATTAAAAAATGAACAATACACTTTTGCTTTCATCAAAAAGAACTAAACTGATATTTTCACATGATATAATTCTATTTATTTACTGCGATCATAGAAACTGGATGGATTTAATGCTCAGGTCGTTTGATCGCGGCTAAATTCGAGTAGAAACACCAATAAATTACATGTTCTACAGATATACTCATTTTCTCATCGCATACTATGAATAGTTAAACAAATTTAGTTGTAAAATATTAGTTCATATTCTAGATTTTAAGCTAATACTTATCAAACAAAAACTAATGTTACTAACATTCTGACATGAAATTGAATAAGATTTAATTTGACATCTATAATTAAAACATTTAAGTCTCTAGACATGTTAGTATAAAATTCTGAAACTAAGTGCTTATATTAATTGGTGAATAGTAATATAATTTACTGAATTAAAATGACTGAATGTCACAAATATGTTAGTGTTACCAACTATTTCGTCCACGGTTTGTTAAAAAAATTAGCTTTTTCGCTCCACAATGTCATTTTAGTATTGTGTTTTCGAGACACTGCTTTAAGTAAGCTAGTCATCTGCCGTGAAAATCTCGTCATATTGTACTAGATTACTGTTGATTATGGCATGTAGAGTCAAACGGTTTTATGGTCTCAGTTGAAATGAAGGAAGCAGGACTTCTGTTTGACAACCATCAATAATTCAGCTAAACAGGAAGATACAAAAAATGAGTCTCAGGACTTGAAATTTTTCCAGCTCAGTCAGTCAGCTACAACGTAAGACCAGGCACATATATGCATCGGTCCAAGTTGCCATACCTCATTAACACAAGATGGACACCGGATTCATTAAAGTAGTTAATTCAAAAGTGGTATTATAGAAAAGAAAGATTACAATAAGGATATAATACAGGAAGAAAGAATTAGTTCGTAGAAAGAAAGATATGAAGCGATTTCAATCTCTTAGTTTAAGGGAAGACATATAGTGTATACACCGACACCATTGTGATCGATTCTTAGCCATGTCATCAGTAGTCTGCATCTACCAACATGGCTCAGACTACCAGCTCAAAAAAACTAGATGTCAAAATTGTTAATGTCAGTTCATTAAGTTTCAACTTAGATTAGTGGTTTGCGGAGATTTTGTCTGGTCGTCACTGATTGTTTTGTCCGTAACGCTCATCACTAATACTTGAAACGAGGGACCTCTGCAATTCCCACAACGCAAAAGTAAGAACACAAAGACTAATATAAGTGAAGATTTATCAACCCCCAAAACACGACAACGACGACAACCTTAGTCGAAAATACACTCATCAATATATTGATTGTACACCCATTTTGATTAATAATTAGGATGAAATCACATATGCTGAGCATAGTTCATGACCTTTGAATACAAGAATATCGTATATTATACAGAACAAAATATCATACGAGAAAAGAAAACGAATTCTATACTGAATAATCATCATATTGAATCAGAACAGAAGTGATGTTGAACAAAACTCATAATTGGTAAATCAATTGAATTTTGACTTTTCTTCTCGTCATATAAATTTTTCCATTTGTAAGTAATATTTACCATGAATTGACGTCAGTTGGAGATTAATTATAAACCAAAGAGAACTGAGTTACTCGCTTTACCCAGCTAGTGAATCACCAGAATTACATATACACGACCTCATGTAACATCCATCCTGGAACCTTTAGGTATCGAAGTAGGCAGAATGAATTTTCGCGGCCAGAGTGAAACTAAGTATTTTTTATTTGCAATCCTTGATAGGACGTAGTTAATGTCAAAAAGCGTCAATAGACAAGTATCACATTTCCGATCCAGTTGATATGTTGGTTCCTGGACCCCTAAAAGAACTTCGACATGTTCATTATAAAAATAATCCTCTAAATTATTGTAAAAGATTAATGTATAGCAAAATTCTTACTTGCTTTCGTATGTGAAGATAATTGTTCAACGGGTTTTGATTGAAGAAATAGGTCCCATCGTACACTGTTCATTCCATTTGCTCTTATTTTTTCAATACACTGTTGCATATAGTCTAAATGATCATTCGGACGATGATACATTAGTCCAGTCAATAAACACTAAAATTTAAAGAAACATAATTTTAGCATCTGCGACACATCTCAGTGATTACATTAACCAGTCTTTCAGAAAAGAACCAGTCTAATTTAGCACTTTCAGTTGATCAAGTAGGCTGTGTCACTGAACTTCACACCAAAAATATAACTTGAGATTGACTTCCTCATTTGATACTAAGTTCATGGCTCAGCCTACAATGCTGCAAAGCATGAGTAGCAACATGTACTAACATAGGATACAACGTCCTTTCTTTAGAGATCCAGTGTACTATAGCCAAAATATAAGGCTATTAAGAAATGGTATTCTTGAAGTGTAATGTTCAGCGATCCAGGCTGCTCAACTTTTTCAGCATCAGCCGAATCCCGACTAGTATTTATTTCATTCAAACTTGGATTTACTACCGTTATCAGTATTCTAAAAGGCTTTTCTGCATGAAAAATGTTATAAAACGGTAGAAGCTATGACCTTATGTGTTTCATAAAATTTCTATTAATGAAAACGAAAACACAGAAAGAAATCTATATGGATTGTAAATCAGTATGTTAAAAATTTTTCGCCTTTTGTTCGTTAGATCTTGAAAACTATTCACTGAGTCACTTCTTTGGCTCAGTAGAAACAATCTTGATAATGGTTTCTACTAATCAAGAACGAGAATTAATTTCCAAAATATTAACCCTATGTAAGCTCATATATACAAACACACAGAGTAAAAGCAAAAAAACGAAGATTTGAGACTGCCTACGGTACATAAGCATCATTATGTTCAAAATACATTGTGAAAGACCCAAAATCTTATTGCTATCAATGTCTCGCAGAACTGTTTCGGCTTCATACTTGTGTCAGAAGTGACTGTCATCAATTACTATGGTCATCAGGTATAATTGAATCTAGTGTGAATACCAAGTCAATGGCCTGTTTTACTTATCGTCATTCTCATCAGATTCTTACACACTATTTTGTATGCTCTCTGAGGTACGATGTAACTCATGGCAAAACGGAAATGTTGTAACAAATTGAAGTTGCAGCGAAACTTATCCACATTTAGGCAAGAGTGGTAAACCCAAGAGTTTGATTTTGGCAGATAGGTTCTTTTAATCTAAATCTAAAATCATGCAGTATCAGATGAATGATAAATAAATCATTTTTCTAGAATAACCATAAGAATAGAGATTGTATTATTCATTTGTTTCGAACTGTTAGTGCATGTCTGTGATAAATTTATATATCGAAAACCATATAAGTTATTGAATTACATTATAAAAATTAAAAAACGGGAAACCCATAAACAAATATGTCAATCGGGGTATGAAAACTCGGTTTTATTCCAAAAATCAAAATTTCGACATTTTCAAAACGGCACAATAATCCTATAAGTGTTAAGTGACATACCTCAAAAAGCTGGGGAATACCTTTTTTAATAAGGTAATCTCTAGTATCAACCATTTCACCTTTAGAACTTTTCATTCCTAAAGAGCCACACTATAAACAACATTAGAAACCGATGCATTCAAACGACAGCAACTGTGATTCGAATAGCTTTCAGTTCGAATATCTTTCCAAATGTTTCTATAACTTTGAACATTTTCGTCCGTAGTTGAACTTTTGAAATTTTTTCGAATGTTCTGACTATTTAAACCTTTGCGATAAAAAATTGTCGTCGACATAGTGAGTATACTATGCCACTCCATATTCATTCAATTCACATATGAGATGCTGCGCCGCCCTCTTTTTGAGCAATACTTTGTTGTTCGTTTGACTTTTTATATTGCTTTTGGTATCAGGTTTTAACTTTGCTGCTCCCTTAGGAGTAAGATATAGCGTGCCGATTCACTGAAAATTAGAGTCTTTAGTGCATGAGATTAGCCACCTAATTGTTTTTTAATCCTCAACGAGTAAGCAAAGCGAAGGAAATGGATTATTTTAGTGGCAGATATCTTGATTCATATCCAAAGATGTCTTGATGATGTTTAGGCAATGGAATAGTTTATATCGTTTTCCTTTTTTAAACCCCATCATTCTTGTGATACTACAAATCTCCCTGTCCCTCCACGAATTAATTACTTTAAACCCAGATGATAGGGTTAATTCTCGTATGGTTTGTTACCCCGCTCCTTATGCGTCTCTGGACTTGTTTACGGCTTTTCAATTCAATCGAAAGGGGCCCAACAATGTTGGGGGTATAGCGACTCACGTGCAATTGAGTTCAGTTCAGTCAAGGTCTTTTGTTGACCTATTCAATGGACAAAGTCATCCATGCTATAACAACTTGTTGTACTGTTATTATTATTGTGCTTGTATGAAATACATATGCTTGAACATTACTTAGCGCCTACGCATTTATTCACTCTGCTAGTCTTACTACTAACTGCTTATTTGATTCCATTACTCATTCATTTCACATGGTATATATATGTCCATGTTATTCATATTCAACACACACACACTCTCATCTCGCTCTTGCTCTCGCTAGCTTGCTCGCCTTTCGGCACAACTCTTCCATGCTCGTTTAACGCATCTGTACATTTGGATATATATGTGTGGTCTCGCAATAAACGTAATCAACACTCTGTATTTGCCTTCTGATTAATATACCGTTGGGACGTTATATAGAACTGTTATCAAGACGAGCTGTATACGAAGTTTAAGGATTATATGGAATACCGACCACCACAAGAGTTTCAAAATATCTTTACCGATATGAGAAACAAATTGACAACGAATACAACTAGTTTTCCGAAAACATATCGCGGGCACTCCGGTGCACCTCCAGAATAATATTCAATAAAGACTGATCGGTCTTCTGATGGATGATTTAAGATACAATTCGTTCATCAGTTGTGTAGGTGATTATTAAAGATAACAATGGTTGTTCTTAGCTGATTTTGAATGTGACGAAACGTTTTTCCCCAACTCTGTCGTAATAAATGGAAGAACGAATAAGGATCAAATTTAGCTTTTCGCGATACTCAGTGCATCAAGAATTCATAAACGAATCCATTTTGTTTGGACTTGTGAAAAGCCTTTGGCTTTTCAAGAACATAATGGGTGGGGAAATAAATTGTGATAGCTAAAAGAGTAAAACGGTATTATATTCTAGGTCACATACGTTAGTACGACCAAGAAACTGTCCATTTACATGCAGCGTTTGATAAAACCTAACGAGTTGTCCGAGACAATTAAGATGGTTTCGATAAAAATTCATGCAGCCTAATTTCTCATATGAAACATGTCAATTACTAACTGTTTCCCTAATATCCTTGTCTTATTGGTATCTAACGATATGAAGAGCTGTCCTTGAAGGACTCGTGGGTATTGTAGCAGCAATTAAATCCCCAAAATAAATAGCTCTGTAAGTCTTCGACCTTTGATACTGACCACATTAGTTTAGAGAAATAACCTAGCTTAAGGCGCTCGATCATTCATCCGCACTAGATCACGCCGCGCACGACCTCTCCTACAACTATTAGCCAGTTTAGATCAGTCGCTTCTAGATATGTTGATAGCTTATAAGATATATCTTCGAACCTTCTCGTTTCTGACTTTTGATTTCACTGGGTTGGTACGATTCAATAATAGAAGGTTCTACTGGATACAGTGTTGTCAAACTAGAGATACCCGTCTCATCTTCAGGATGAAACGAGTTTAACATATCATGTAGGTTTGATGAAATCATTCACTGAGCCTTAAGCTATTTCAACAAGCTGTCCCTTAATTTTTACTAGTCCTCCATATCTTAGAATACGGTTGTTGATCTGGTTTCGTCAGAAACGGCTGTCCACCTTAAGACACTTATACAAAGATACTTGAAAGTTCTTAATGCTATGACTAGTACAGGTAGATTGAAGATGCCACAGGTATTCGGAATTTGACTGCGCTTTAACCAGTAACACCTTCTAATATAAATCGTACCCACGAAGTGAAATCAAAAGACAGAAGCGAGAAGTTTGGAAGATATATTTGATAGGCTATCAATATATTGAGGATCGTCTGATCTAATCTGGCTATCAACTGCAGGGGTTGTTGAGCACGGCGTTCCCACTCATGATTTGCTGCGGATGCATGGTCGAGCGCCTTCAGCTAAGTGAGTCCATTAAAACTAATGTTGTTAGCATCCAAACTTACAGAGCTATATCTTTTGAGGATATATTTACCGCTACAGAATGAACGACACAAAGTTTGAGTTTTTTATTCTTTTAGAAACGCGATCAAATTTACTCATGTTGAGTTATTTCCAGGTGACGGTAGATCTTTTCATTTTGTTTTTTACTACTTAACAAATATTTATTTGTCGCGCTTTGCATGGCGGGTTTCTGACACTTGCGTTACGTAGCGTATGATAACCTATTATTCATCATTTTATTTCTCCCGTAAACGTGGTCATAGTTTTTGGTCATGATCAGTCGAACTAATTTCGGCGTTAAAATTCAAAGCTGAGCGGATTTTTATATATGAATGCTGTCGTAGGTTAAACTATCTGCTTGTTTTGATTCTCAGATTGTCGTAATTTAATGATTGTGTTATTTTTTGATTGTTGCCTGTCGCTTTCCGTTGTATATCTGACTGAGCTATAAGCTTACTGGGTTGTCGAGTCATCTCTTCACTTTTACTGTCTTTGCCCTACCCCGGGTACTTATAAGTACCTGGAAACTGTCGCGCGATTTTCGAACGGGAAGTTTAGTCCTAACGTGATTTGCATATATCAAACTTTTGCTGTGTTCTTACGCAACAAAAGTACCATTTCAGTTCTAAAAAATCTATCCTGAGCTATACGTTCGGTAGATTACTTTTTTTTGAGTTTCACTATATTTAATAGTTACCTGTGGTTTTGCCTCAAATGGTTCAAATGGTTGTGGACGGAATAGAAGAAGCTTTCGCTTAACAGGCTTCCGTGTCTAGTAGCAGGGGATCACCAAATCCTCCAGGCAGGAACCTAGGTATGTTAACAATAAAAGAGGAAAAGAAATTGGTAAATCATAGTGCGATGCTGTCCTTGGTCCTTAAGAATAGGTCAAGTTGCCTCTTGAAGGACTCCTGAGAAGTCGCTTGGACTAGCTCGGCCGGCAGCGAATTCCAGCTTTTGACAACTCTTAAGGAGTAGAAGTTGTGTCTACATTCCGTCTTGCTATGTTGTGTTTCCAGTTTCTGGGTGTTACCCCTTAGGTTATTGTTCGAACTAAGCTTAAGTAGGTGTTTAAGAGGATGTCCAGAAGTGTTAAGAATACTATAAGCCATTAATAAATCACCTCTAAGACGCCTATATTCTAGTGGGTAAAGGTCTAGTGAACGGAGGCGTTCTTCGTAAGGCTTAGATTTGAGTCCTCGAACTGATTTCGTGGCTCGCCGTTGGATACGCTCCAAAGTGACCTTATCCTTTTGGAGTGAGGGGGGGAGTACTATGTTTCCGTACTCTAAATGGGGACGGATGAAACTATTGAAGATTGTGTGGAAAGTTCTTCCGTCAAACTGACCAAAAATGCGCCTCAACGTTACCAGTGCAAGGTTTGCTCGGAAGGCATTTTTGTCACAGTTAGCGTAAGACTTTAAGTCATGGGGCACCAGGACTCCTAAATCTTTTTCGACTTGGGATACTACTAGAGAGGAGTTTCCTAAGTTGTAACTGTAGTTTGCGACATGTCGCAGATGGACTACTTTACACTTAGAAGTGTTAAAGGTAAGTCCGTTATCGTCTGCCCAACTATGAAGTCGAGTCAGATCCTCTTGAAGAGCCTGTATATCGTCTTGGTTGCGTATCTCTCTCCAAAGTTTCACGTCGTCGGCAAAAAGTAATAAGTCTGACGTTACCTGTTGAGGAAGATCGAAGATTCTTCTGTGAATACTATGCGAAACCCATCTTTTTATTACTGAATGTCCTGTGGTTTTGGTTGTTCGGAATATTACTTCCTTGTTTGCTTCTTATTTGGATCAAGTGAATGTATAGTATCAATTAAAAAACTGAAAACAAGTGAATGTAATGGACAAAAAAGTACTATCTATTTATTTAGGCAAAATACAACTACTCTTAAACATTTGTAAGCTTACCTTAATTCATTCATTGTACAATTAGGATTTTCTAATAGAAAATTCAATATAACCTTTTCCCAATAACTACGATAACTTAAACGACCTAAATCGGAGAGAGGTTTCTCTGGTGTACCAACAATTTGTTCAATTTTAGCTAATTCATAACCTGAACAAAGAAAATAACAAAAACAATAGCAAAACAAATAGATGCGATTAAATTAAGTGAATGAAATTGTGTACAACTTAGCCGCTACCTTAACGCAGTGATCAGGCTTGCTGAACGTGATGACTTACCTGAGCTATATTGGCTGGAACACATGCTTTTTTAGGTCCTACCATGCCAGACAGGTCAGTTGGAGAAGGATGGTAGTAAAAGCAAGAACTTAAAATTTAAGGGTGAAGTCATATTGTATACTGTAGAGCGATGTGACAACAGTAAGGTGTTTTTCTCGGATAATCAGCATCTGCAGCAAAGTGAAAAACGCCCTCATACCTCTAGGAGCACCCGAGAACATCATGTTCATGACCGAATTCCTACAATCAATTCTGCTCGTATATCTTTATCCTCACGTGTCACCAATGCTAATGATTTGAGCTCACGAAATATTATTTTTGGTATCCGGAAACCACACTAAAAACTGCATTGAATGGTCAAACCTTGTATCATATAAGGCAACAGGCTTCTTAAGCTAAGAAGCTAAATTCTCGCACCATCAATGTGCTTTGTCTCCGAAACACACATACAGGATCCAAGTATTGTCATTTACTTGACCCCACCTTCCCAATCTAAAGAACTGGCACGATTTACATTTATGTATCTGGAGTCCTCACTGTTCATTCCCGTGACCTCGTCGGTATATGTACGGCATTAAGTTTGGAAGCACAACAGGCTTTCCTAGAATGTATGCTAAAAGACAGTCGTTTTTGTGCTGTCCAAATAAACTGGACAGTAAGCACTCAAAAATATAGGGACACGTGCCGTTGTCTTTTCATTGTCTCTGCCTACGATCACACAGATTCGGATGAAGTAAGAGATGAATTTTATAAAAAGCTATCCAGCCTCCTTCAAAAAGCAAAACACTGATGTAATTGAATGTAACTGAATGTGAATATTGTGGGTTGAAAGTTCCAATATTGTACAGTTCTGACAAAAAAATATTTTGCAGAAACCATTTATAAACTGTTAACAAGGTCTGCATATTATCGAATCAGACGACTTTAAACAATGGAAGGATGATAAATATAGTTTCAATTACTCATTACCCACTTATTATCATAAGTATTTCCTGTCTAAAAGTATCACTATAAAAAATATATTGGTATCAAGGATATATATACAGAAAGAGATGCATGGATACAAACAACCAAATACATAGACAAGATACGAACTAGTACAAATATCTATCGGTCTAAATCGTCACAAGTTACGCGGTAACATAGACAGAAAAACGACAGGAAAAGCTGAAGAACGAAAAATATTATTTAAGCTAACAAAGCAAAATTAGTGAATTTAGGCTGCATCGAGACATAATTCATTCAAAATTACATACACCGAATGTTTTCATAAACGAAGTCATTTAATTATGCTAAAAAAAAAGCATAACAATCACAATGTATAAATATGAGAGAAACTCACTGAGACTAAATAAGAAATGACCATATCCACGACGTTGAAACGGTGGTAAAGTTAAGATACATGCAAGATTATAATTATCAGCAGATACTTTTCCTTTGAAAAAAAACTGAAAAAGAAAATATTTTAGAAAGGAAAGACGAGGTAGGATTTGCTTAATATTTCAACATACAGAGCACAAAATGGTTGATTGATATGTAACATAGCTGATTTTTTTATGTCCCATAGAATGCTCTAAAGACATGACATATAAATATTATATTATCAACTCATTTGCCAAATACAGACTCATGAACTTGGTTTTAAGATGCCTTCTAAGTGTGAGGGACAGTGATCGTACCCAAATGATCAAATAGAAATAAGTAGAGGGTCCTTCAAGTATGCATCTTAGTGGATAAACATTGAACACATTAACTACTAGGTCACCGTGCCAAACATAACTACTAAAATAGACAACATTGATGACTTTCAAATACTTGAATCTCATTACTTAATTTTAATGAAATCACACAACAAATAAACAATTAAAATTAAAATGTACATTCATCATAAATTAAATAGTGTGATCGAAATCGGCTACTAAGTATGTAGCACACATCAGATGAAGAAATTATATTTGAGCTAATCTCAGCAATTGAAATTTTAAAAATTATAAAGTTTCACTTGAGCAAACTCCGCCTGGAGTCCCTCCGGGGGCTACTGCCCGTCCCAAGCCCGGATAAAGGAGGAGGGTTGGGTATGGGGTTAGCGTACCCATCCCGTAGAAAACTAACTCGCTAAAAAAACGCTAACCAGAAAAATTTATTTCAACCTTTTAAACTCTGCCCCGGGAGTCAGAAAGTATTCATTTAGAAGAATTATGACGCCTCATGATGAAAGCCGAATTCCTTCGGAAATTACGAGGCCGATGCCCCTTCTGACAACCAGAGCCACCATTTATTTAGGTACATGGAATATTCGTACAATGTGGGACACCGGGAGAGCCTTCCAAATTGCTGCAGAAACGAGGAGATACAACCTAGTGTTGCTTGGGATCAGTGAAACACATTGGACGCAAGTTAGACAACAACGACTAGCTTCAGGGGAGCTATTGTTATACTCCCGACATGAAGATGAAAATGCACCACATACACAAGGAGTTGCATTGATGCTGTCCAAACAAGCACAAAAGGCACTTATAGGATGGGAATCTCATGAACCAAGGATCATCAAATCCTCCTTCAAAACAAAGAAAGAGGGCATTTCAATGAACGTCATCCAATGCTATGCGCCTACCAACGACTACAATGAAGACACTAAAGATCAATTCTACAATAGGCTGCAGTCAATCGTCGAGAAGTGCCCAACAAAGGACCTGACTATTCTGATGGGAGATTTCAATGCCAAGGTTGGACTGGACAACACTGGATATGAAGACATCATGGGACGACACGGACTGGGAGAAAGAAACGAAAATGGTGAGAGATTTGCAAATCTATGTGCCTTCAATAAGCTGGTCATAGGCGGCACCATATTCCCACATACACGCATACACAAAACCACATGGACTTCAACGGATCACACGCAAAACCAAATCGACCACATTTGCATCAACAAAACGTTCAGGAGGACTATAGAGGACGTGAAAACCAAGAGAGGAGCTGATATAACATCAGATCATCACTTGCTGGTCGCCAAGATGAAAATGAAACTCAAGAAGCACTGGACAAAGGGGCGGACAATATCACAAAAGTTCCATACGGTCTTTCTTCAGGATACTAACAAACTCAACAAATTCAAAATAGTCCTCAGCCATACGTCCCAGGC